GCACCCTGTGGCCATATGGCTCCCTTGGAGTGGAAGGGAGACTAGAAGAATTTCAAAAGGGGGAGTCTAAACCTGACTCTGTAGCACTGGGAACAACAACAGGAGTTCCGAGCCAGGGACTGAGCTGGGCCCAGAGGGACAGACCCCTTCGCTGTGGTCCTTCCCGCCCGTGTGATCAGCACCTGCTCCAGCAGAAGCCGGGGACACCCAGGGCAGAGATCCGTGTCAGAGGGAAGCCAAGGGACCCATTCCGTCACCCTTAACAGCACAAATTCACAAACTCTCTTAGCTCACTGGAGCCACCAAGAAGGATCTTGAGCCAGATATGTGTAATTTAGAAAAACATCAAGCAAGGTGGATTTTCCTGAACTCATGGCCCATTGGAGCAAATTCATGCTTCCGACCTCAGGCCGAGAAAGAGTCAAACTGTTACTTAACAAATGGTTAGGGGACGGCGAGGAAGGAAGGACCTACAATCCGATGTGGAAGATGCCGGGAAAGCAGCTTGGGGTGGGGTTGGGGAGTGCTGTCTTGGGGCTCAACCCCCTCACCCATCTGCGATTTTGATCACGGTGAAGGAAGGAGACATGCATTCTTGCAGTCACTCGCTGGAGTTCTCGCTCTCCATTTCAACGTGATTTCACAAGTGGAAACACACTCAGGAGAAAAATCTAGTGGGATTTTCTTCTCCCAGAATTTTCCCAAGATAGCCTTACCTCCCCTTCTCTCCTAAGAGCGAGACTTAAAAAGAAACAAAGGCGGTAAGTGCTGGGTCCAGAGCCCGTCTGTTCCCAAGCTCCAAGTCATAAAACCCCAGGCTCCCTTGCCTTAATCCAATTGTAAGAGCAAATGCCTTTCGTTGGTAATTTCATTTGTAATTTCTTATCCTGCCATCTCCAGGACGGGAGGTTTTATTAAAGCGTTTCCAAATCTGCTTGTGATTATGTAAGAAAAGTTTCTGCCTGCAAGCACGCGCGTCACAGCCACAAGCCAGCAGCAGATGCCAGCCTGCCTGGCCCTTAACCCTCCAGAAGGGCTCAGACCTAGGCAGAAGGTGAGGGGGGAAGGAAGAACTGCATCTTGGCCCGACCATCTGTCCTTGAAAATCATGAAGAAGTCCTAAACAGAGTGTTTGCTTGGCCAGTGTTTTGTTTATGTCCAATAGCCAACACTGAACAAATCAAAATTTCATATGGAATCCCAATTTCTGGATTTCTTTTGCAAATCAGTAGAGCGTAGGCAGGGATTCTGTGTAGCAGTGGAAATGCCAGGTTAGATACCCACGGCTTTTCCCAGAGGTCCAGTGTTCCATACTCCGTTCTACCTCCTCACTCCAGCTTCGTGCTGAGGCCAGCCGTAGGAGGCAGGGCAGGTGGCACCAGCATTTGGGTTCCTGCCAGCCATGTGGCTCCCAGCCTTACTTTGGTCTAAGTCCTTGTCACTAGGAGCATTTGGGGAGTGAATGGGTCTCAGGGAGGATCTCCTCTCTCTCTCTCTCCCTTTGTCTCTCAAATAAACAAATATGCTTATACATTTAGCTCTTCTACCATTTGGCTGCTGTCCCTCACAGCTAAGCCCTGACATCCCTGGCTCTGAACCTCTGAACTCCTCTCCTAACACCCCTCGGATCATTTTAAGTCTTGGTGGGAGGCAGATGTCATTTTTCTGTACTCCAGCCATCTCCTAGGCATGGCTGGCCACTTCTAAATCATTCAGGGCTCACTGTCGGAAGAACCCAGGATGGGAGAGAACTGGTGAGTGATGTGGCACTGTGCATGCGCACAAGGCAACAGCATCCAGGGCTAGTGAGGGCCACCAGGTGAGTGGTATCCAGGGCTTACCACAGCAGCAGATTCCAAGACTTGACTCTGAAGCATTCTGAGCCTTGTTCTGGTTGAATGGCCCCCCTCTTCCTCCAGCCAGCCACTGACCACGGGGCTAGGCAAGGTCCCTCTGCAATCGTTTTGTCCCGCCTCAACGCAATCCCACCTAAAAATGCCACCCTCCTGTGGCAGCGCATCTTCTCCAATCCTCTTCCTTTCTTTTTCTTTTTTTAATTGCAAAGTCAGATGTACAGAGAGAAGATAGGAAGATCTTTAGTCCATAGATTCACTAAGTGACCACAATGGCCAGAGCTGACCCAATCCGAAGCCAGGAGCCAGGAACTTCCTCCAGGTCTCCCACACGGGTGCAGGGTCCCAAGGCTTTACGCTGTCCTGGGTTGCTTTCCCAGGCCACCAGCAGGGAGCTGGATGGGAAGTGGAGCTGCCAGGATTAGAACCGGTGCCCATATGGGATCCCGGCGTGTTCAAGGAGAAGACTTTAGCTGCTAGGCCACTGCGTCAGGCCCCCTTTGTTTCTATAAAGTTTATTTATTTACTTACTTATTTATTTTGTAATTACTTTATTTGGTGAGTGGCAAACGCAAGGAGGCAAGATTGAGAGGGGGAAGGAGGGAATCCCTGTATCTACAAAACTGTGTCATGGAAAATAAAGAAAAATATGTGAGACATCTCTTCCATTGGTTAATTCACTCCACAAAAAAAAAATAGTCTACAAAGCCAGGAGCCAGGAACAACCCAGACCTCCCAGACAGGTGGCAGGGCCCAGCTTTTTGAGGCATTCCCTATTTGCTCCAAGTGCCCATGGCAGGAAACTGGATGACAAGCAGGCCCAGGTCTCGAACCCCCGACTCTGCAGGGTGGAATTATCCCACCCAGGCTCCTCCTAGACGTGCAAAACCAGACCTCGGGTCTTCCTCTTTAAACGGAGAGAGCTTTGGTACTCGGAGGACAGGCGCACCTCCCACAGGAATCATACCAACTGCACGCAACAGGTGGACACACCTCCTAGCAACCGCCCTCCGCCCCAAGCTCCCGTACACTGGGTTCGGATCACAGGCTCACCTGTCAAGCCGGTCAGGATGGAGGAGCAAGGGGCGCTGACTGGCCGGCTCTGGGGCCGCAGTCCCATTCGGGCTCAACAGGCGACACCTGGGCGCGTTCAGAATCCCCAGCGCGAGCCCCGCTCCCAGAAGCCAGATTTAACTCACACACTGCACCTTCCAGTCACAGCACGGAGCACGGGCGAGCACAACCTCACACACAAGTGACACCGAGTAGAGCAGGCTGGCTTTCCCAGACCACCCAGAGGAGGAGTACCGCTTCAGAAAACCCATGCAAGGCCATTGCTGGGCGTCAGGCTCCAGCAGCGGACTCCGAGACCCAAGCCAGCACAGTGTCTCCTGCGCTGGGTGCCAAGTCCTCAAGCTAAACTTTGAACGGACCGGTTTTCCAGAAAGTAGGAGATGGACCGCTCCAGAGGGGCCAGCGCACCCTCAGTGGTTAAAACTCCCTTCAGCTGTCACCTCACAAGTCTGTCAGCTTTTGCTTGGTATCCCCCAAACACACAAGACTGGGCCTGCAGGAAGTCAGCAGTTTCCTCAGGTCACAGGTTTTGAGGCCAAAAGTCAGAGGTTCGGGCCTCTGGTGTGTGTGGCGGCACTGCGGAGGGGCTGGAGAGAGCTTCCGGGTCGGACTGGTTCCATCCCCACAAGCTTCCAGACCGGCCTTAATTACTTCCCAGGGCACAGCCCTCTTGACCTCCTGACCTTGCGGGAAGCCCCGCCTCTTAAAGGCTCCGAACCCCCCAACATGGCCCCACGGAGGACCTGGCTTCCAAAGCACGGACCCTCAGGGGACACATCTAGAGCCCTGTGCAGAATCATAGCAGCCTGTATGGAAAGTAGCTTAGAAAAGATTAATTTGCCTTGCATTTCTGTTTCTGCTTTCGCTGGCCTTTTTTGTCTTATCCATTCCAGCCCCTCTGCTCAGTTCAGGGGGTACCGGTCTGTCTCCCTATAGACAGGATGCTGCCCAGTTCATTAATCACACACCAAACACAGTTCGTTGATGACATTCAGTTTAGTGTCTTTTTTGATAGCGCCCATTGCATTCTCTCTCTCTCTCTCTCTCTGTAAAAACAGTGGGCAATGTGGCCCGGCACTGTGGCCTAGCGGCTAGGGTCCTCATCTTGAACATGCCAGGATCCCATATGGGCACCGGTTCTGATCCCAGCAGCTCCACTTCCCATCCAGCTCCCTGCCTGTGGTCTGGGAAAGCAGTAGAGGATGACCCAAAGCCTTGGGACCCTGCACCCGTGTGGGAAACCTGGAGGAAGTTCCTGGCTCCTGGCTTCGGATTGGCATAGCATCGGCCGTTCTGCTCACTTGGGGAATGGATCACCAGACGGAGGATCTTTCTCTCTGGCTTTCCTCCTCTCTGTATATCTGAGTTTGTAATAAAAAAATAAAATAAATCTCTTTTTTTTAAACAACAGAAAAGGCACCTGGACTTATTGGGGGCTCTGGGAGGGGATGGAAAGTCCTTTCGCCTCTAAGATTGGGCCCCAGAGCTCAGAGAGCCTTCCTCGGAGTTTACTAACCAGGCCCTTCCAGCGCAGCGCATCCTCCTAACTGGAAGCCCTGCTTTGTTTTCCTCTTCACCCAGGCCTCATTTTTCTCTGTCATCAGTCGTCTAAATTCCCCGGGGTAGGCTGCAGTTATGACTGGATGGGGTTGCATGCACATCCAGGTATTTACCTGCCTCCCTACTTTGGGGCCGAAAACGTCTTACGAGCAAGTTTTTAAATTAGAATTATTTTATTATAGGCATGCATGAGCTGCCTGTGTTATCTGGGGCTCTTTTTGCTAAGATTTTGTTGTTGTTGCCTTTAGTCCTGGTTGCCGGTTAAGCCTTCGGACGTGGTTGAATTCGGGTGATGTCTGAAACTGGCTTTGAGACCCTAATTGTTAAGGATGTTGGAGGGCCTCGCCTCGCTGGCTGCCCTCCCTGCGTTCAGAACAGGTTGGAGAGGCAGAGGCCGAGAAAAGCTGGCCAACCGCGCCTCCGGTAACCTAGCAACCGGCGCCTTAGCAACGGGGACGGGGCGGGACCTCGGGAGGAAGTCGGAAGCAGGTGTCCGGGTCTCGCGAGAGAGGCTTTTGCGCGCGAACCCTTAAGTGCAAGGGCCGAGGTATCGTTCCGGCCGGATTCCCTGGGGTTAGGGTCTCGTGGATCTGATCACTGCGGTCTCCCAGCCATGGACAGCTCAGCCGGACAGCAGCAGGAGCAGCCCGCGTCGGCCAAGATCCGGAACCTGCCCTGGTAGGAGGAGGCCCGGCTGTCGCGGAGGACAAAGCGGGTCGGCCGCGTCGGGGATTGTGGGGGCAGCTGGCGCGACCCCGAGGCTGGAGGCTTTGCCCCTGCACCCCCAGCTTCTGCCTGGGGCTCTTGCGGGGTCTCCCTTGCTGCACGGGAGTGCCAGTGGCCATGGGTGCTTCGCGTAGGAGGGGGGACCTTGGAAAGGGTTTGGGGGGAGACCGACTGGGTTTACCCCGGTGGTCTGAGCTCAGGTCTTGCACTCATGGCCTTCCCGCTGCAACCTGGGGTGCTAATCCTTGGCTGCACTTTGATGGGACATGGCTTCGTTTAGGAAAACTGGGCATTGTTTTTGCTGGTTTTGATCCTGGTAAAATGCACACAAAGTTCCCGCTAGATGTGTACTTTTCACTGGCATCTGGCAGGAACACCTCACTATCTACTTCCAGAAACTGGAAACTCCGTATCCATGGGCAGCCCCGCGCACTCGCCCTTCTCCTAACACCTGGCATTTTTTTTTTTTCCTGCATCATGGCATGTGTCCGAATGTCATTCCATTTTTGTGGCTGGATGCGACATGGTATTCCGTTGTGTTCCCCTGGCCCAACCGTCATTTATGCATCCGCCTGCTGGTGGATGTGAGTTCAACTTTGAATTCACCGTAATAGGAGGTGCCTGTTCCAGGTTGCCGTGCGAGGTGGACAGCTGGAAAGGGGAGATTAGAGCTCCCTTTTCCAATCTTGTGCTCTTAGCATTGTGGTCTAGGTACGGAGGTGGGCAAGGGAGCTGTCCTGTGTCTTGTACCGTGCAGTAGCACTCAGTTCTCACCACTAAAAATGTCTCAGATATCGAGTGTCCCCGCAGGACATACCCTGGTTTGAGAACCACACATCCGTATAGAAACTTGGAGCGTTTTGTTTCTCTTCCTCTTTTCGTTAGGTTCGTAGCAAAAAACATGCTTTTGCGCAAACCGGACCCTTCTTGAGCTGTGTACATTCTGAATTGTGTTCCAGGGTTGAAAAATACCGGCCCCAGACCCTGGATGATCTCATTTCGCATCGGGACATTCTGAGTACCAGTGAGTAGCTGCCTGGCTGTGCCTCTTGTCTTGGGGTGGGCTGGGGGAAGCACCTGGTGCCAATTTCTTGATGAAATGTGACACACAGAATTATAACCTTGAAGGATGTGATGGAGCTTTGTGGGGTGCAGCCTTAAGGGTGGCACCCTTTAGTTCCTGCACCTGCCCCCTGCCTTGTACATGACACTGGGGTATGAGACCAATCCCCAACAATGATGGCGGTGCACTTTCTTCCTGTTTCTCAGTTCAGAAGTTTATCAATGAAGACCGCCTGCCGCACCTGCTCCTCTACGGCCCCCCGGGGACTGGGAAGACGTCCACCATCCTAGCCTGTGCTAAGCAGCTCTACAAAGACAAAGAATTCGGCTCCATGGTCTTAGAGGTATGCCATCCTGCAGGGTTTTATTAGAGCTTTTGATATAAGTTGCCTCAGGGGCAGTTGAGAAGGAAGCCGGCTTTGAAATGAGATCCTCCCGTTTGCTTTTTTACATGTAAGGCTTCTTCTGGACCCTGTGATGCTTGTATGATAAGGGAGCCATTTTTCTCTGCCGAGCCCAGCTTTTACTCAGTCCCTCCCGGTTCTGTGCATCCCTCCGTAGCATTCCTTTCCCAGAAGGCTGAGCTGTGTACCCCAGAAGCTCCCTCACAAATCCTGCTTGGATTTGGCCAATAGGAGCCTGACAGAAACTGAGGTAGGAAGAGAATGGTGCTCTGGGCCTGGGGGTGGGGAGTTACCACAAGCTGGCACTACAGAGCACATCTCCAGTGCTGCCCTGCCCACCAGGTGCCAGCAGGCCAGGGTGAACACAGGTGCTGCTTGGTGCTGCAGTGCCCCGCGTCGGATGGGCAGCTTTTAAGTTATCATGTCATTGAAGTGCCTGATTATTGCATCTGTATATAGCAGGGACTTGTCTGATATACATAGATCATACAAATCCAGATGTTGTTTTTTTGCCAAAAAAAAGAAACCATGCAGTCTTAGGTTTCCGCTGTGGTCCTGGAACCTTGCCGTTCGGGTTGTGACAGGTTAAGAATCTGCTGTAGCCTTGGACTGTGGTGGCTACAGTGAGTGTCATTCCGTCCTCACCAGGCAGGCGTGCTGTCCAGTGCTACCAGGTCAGGGAATCACCTGCCCAGATTGCGTGGCGTGACCATCCTGGAGGGTTTGGCAAAGCTGCCATTGACCTTCAGCATGTCATAGCATGGCCGAGTGAGTTTTGAGGACAGCTGTGGATTTGTTGGCTTGGTTTTTTTAGGCTCCTCTGCTTCTGATCCAGCTTCCTGCTAACGTATCCTGGGGGTGGCAGGAGACCCACCTCTCTAGGCAGCTTGGGTGGTGTACCAGGCATCTGGCTTCGCCCTGGCACAGCCCTGGGTGTTGCGACATTTGGGACACAACCAGCAAAAGCAAAGTCTCTATCTGTCTTTCTGTTACTCTTTCAGGTAGATGAAAGGAAATAACATTTAAAAACAAATAGATAGATAGTGAGCTGTGGTTTTTATTTTGGCCTTTCTCTTCCACATTTAGCTGAATGCTTCGGATGACCGAGGGATTGATATTGTTCGGGGACCAATCCTGAGCTTTGCCAGCACAAGGACAATATTTAAGTAAGAATTATTTGCATATCTGTCTCCCCCTAGAGATTTGGATCAGTGAGGTGATATGGCTTAGTTTTCCAATATGATGTAAAAAAGAAAAACCTTTGTCCAAAGCAGCAGGAAAAATAAGGTACCAGGATGGTGGTAAGAAAATAGTCTAATTATCTAAACCTATTGTAACAAGTATCCTCATAATGTTTTGTTAAGTGACCAAGAACTGGTTACATCCTAACTAGATGTTAGGACTAGAAGAGCTAGTTCAAGGTTAAACAGAATAAACTTAGATCTAAAAGTATACGCAGGCTGTATGGTGTGAAGACTTACACCTAAGGAAGGAAGCAGGTGGAATGCCGAGTGGAAAAGGCGGGCAGCAGAGACAGCAGGAGGGCAGGGCAGGAGCGAGGCCTCGGCCCCCAGTCCTGTGAGCACAGGTGTCGGCCCTGGTTCCAGGAGAAGTGGACCTGGCAAGGTAGTGCCTGCCAGCTCCAGCGTGCACACAGAGATTTAAGTGCAGGTGGCGGAGTGACATGGAAGAATTCTCAAGACAGTGCTGGGTGTTTCCCTAGGAAAGGCTTTAAACTGGTGATCTTGGATGAAGCCGATGCCATGACCCAGGATGCCCAGAATGCCTTGAGAAGAGGTAAGAGGAGCTGCCGGGGACATGCTGGCTGCCAAGGGCGCTCGGGGGAAGCCCCGAGCTGTGGCAGGCCTCCTTGGCCGTGTCCTGTCCTCACTTGGTCCAGAGAGAACGCACCTGTCTGGTAGGGGCTTCCCTTCCAGCACACGGAGGACCTAGCTGGGCGTTTCACCCTCTTGGACCTCTGCATTGAACTTTCTCAGACCCTGGGAAGAGCTTTTGTTCCTAGGCCAGTCGACCTTTCTGTTGGTACAATCCTGAGATCCAAAGTGGCCACATTGTAAGAGAACGGGGACAGTTGGTGGCCCTCAGAGAACTGCCCTTACCTTGCCAGGCACCCCGGGGAGAACCAGGCGGGGCGGGGAGAGCTGTGCTGGGTAGATTCGCGGGGTCTGAGTCCATCCATCCATCTTGAAGGATACGCTAAGCTGTCTCGGGATTTGGAGTGAATCAGCTCTGAGAGCAGAACGTGCTAAGAACTTGGCAGGGAAGGAGAGAATTGTGCACCAACTGAGGAGAAAAAGCAGGAGGAGGAGGAGGAGGCTGGAGACAGCTCTGGCTGTTCCTTCAGCATCCTGCTCTGCAGAGCGACTGTCGTCTGGGCAGGGCCGGTGGGCACCCAGCATCCTCACCTCTGCCTGCGGGGTTGGTGGTCCCAGAGTGCTCTCGGGTCCAGGCAAGGTCCACCAGCTCCATGGGGAAGTCTATCTTCGATGGGACCCCAGAGAATTTCCAGGGATTGGGGGTCTTGAGAATCAGCCTGGCTTTTAACGTGCCGCCTCATTCTGCCTCCCCAGTGATCGAGAAATTCACGGAAAATACTAGATTTTGCCTCATCTGTAACTACCTGTCCAAGATCATCCCCGCCTTGCAGTCCCGGTGCACCAGGTTCCGCTTTGGTCCCCTGACGCCAGAACTCATGGTCCCCCGCCTGGAGCACGTGGTGGAGCAGGAGAAGTGAGTGTCCCAGGAGGGCCTGGGGTGGCGGCCAGCACCCGTCCGCAGGCGGGATGCCCAGTGAGTGCAGAGTCTGCATGGGGACCTGCAGCTGCTCCCAGCCTCCCTGGCGTCTCGCAGACAATTCCTCCCCCTACCGTCCTTGGGTGCCTCTCTGCATTTCTCACCATGCCAGCTTCCTCCCACTCGGCTTTGTCACTGCAAACAGCCTGCTGCCGAGGCCCTTGGAGAAGGTGCTGCGTTCTGAGACCTCGCATTCTGTGTAGTCAGAAGAGGTGTCGGCTCAGCAGTGGTGTCTGGGGCCAGGGCGTCTTCTCCCTGAGAACACAAGCCAAGGCTGGTGGCTCAGCACCAGGACCCCATTCCTAAGAAAGGGTCTCCCTGTACCTTGCGTGGCTGAGACTCCTAACATGAAGTCCACGTCGCTCATGCTAGAGAGTGAGTTCTAGAAGGGACAGGTCAGGAGAGAATCACAAGCTCTCTTCTCTTATGGTTTCAAAGTCGTAATCATTCTGGGCCACCTGGTCTCCCTCGGTGAGTGCCGTGCTCTAGGGAGGCCTAGTAAATAAATAAGTCCCTTTCGCCTGCTTCCTTCCAGGGTTTACGTAAGCGAGGATGGGATGAAAGCTCTTATAACCCTTTCCTGTGGAGACATGCGGAGAGCTCTGAACATTCTGCAGGTAGGGGCGCCCTGCTTGCAGCCCGTCTTGCTCAAGAAAGGCCCAAGCCACAGGACCACGACTCTGGATGCAGAGGCCCAGACAGGGCCAAGAGCTAGACCTGTCCCCACCACCTCCATGCAGCCTTTGCGTTTTAAGTCATGGAGTCATTTGTTGCGAATCAGTGTAGGCACAGAAGGACTCCGCAGCCCTAAGAGCCGGCCGGCAACAGCTTCCACTAATATGCCAGCTCTTACCACTGTTTAAAAAATATATACATATATAGGGTTCAGGTTGTCCTGAGCTCCCTGGCATTGCTGTCTGCACTAGTTCTCCCTGGCTCCCTGGCTGCCCGCAGCCACCCCTAGGATCTGTCCCCCTGTCTGCACAGAGTACCAACATGGCCTTCGACAAGGTGACCGAGGAGACCGTCTACACCTGCACGGGCCACCCACTCAAGTCTGACATCGCCAACATTCTGGACTGGATGTTGAACCAGGATTTTAGCACAGCCTATAGGAGTATCCTTGGTCGTGACCAGTGCCCAAGGCCCGAAAGTAGCCACAGGGGCTCACACAACTCAGGCCAGCGTGGATACCTTGCTGGCAAAGGATGGTGGCTGCCTGTGCCTCTCTGGTCAGCTGGCAGTGGGAGCGAGTGTCAGGAGGTGCAATAAGGGCTTGTCTTCAGCACCCGGGGTTCTTCCTGCAAGGCTCTGACCTGGCTGAGGTTGGAAGGGTAGGGCAGCAGTTGGGCCTTGTGGTGGGAGCTATAAGGATTTTCCACTGTTAGCTTACTGTGGGATTAATAGCTAGCCATAGTACCATGGAGACTTTGTGGAAGGCATTTGGCTGTGTGCTCTAGTAGGAGCAGGGACAATTGTTACCTTCCAGAAAGCCCTTGCTGAAGATAAAACATTAAAAAAAATAACAACTGAGGCCCAATATGTACAGCTTCAACTTGAGAAAGTGCTGTGTCTGGAATCACCAGTGCTCCTTTAAATAGCCTGTCCAGAACAGGAGTTTGCTTAGAGGGCTGGTGCTGTGGGGTGGCCAGCTAAGCTGCAGCCTGCACTGCTGGCCTGACCTCCCGTGTGGGCACTGCTAGGCATCCCAGCTGATCTACGTGTGATCCAGCTCTCTGCTAATGTGTCTGGAAAAGCAAGTCGTGGGGCCCTGTCACCCACTTGAGAGACCGGGATGGAGTTCCAGACTCCTAGCTTTGCCCTTGCCCAGCCCAGGCTGTTGTAGCTGTTTTAGGAGTGAAAACAGCAGATGGAAGATTGCCCTGCTTTTCAAACGAATCTGGAAAAAAAAAAAAAAAAACCTAGCTTAGGATACCTGTACCCAACATCAGACAACCTGGGTTTAAGTCCTGGCTTGGCTCCCAATTGTAACTTCCTGTTGATTCTATCTTGGGAAAGAGGAAACCACAGGTTCAGGTGCTTGGGTCGCTGTAACCCATGCGGGAGGCGTGAACCGAGTTCCTCGCTCCCGGCTCCGGCTATCTCTGCCTCCCTAAGAAATGAAATGATAAAGAGCTGCTCGCTGGGATTGGGAGGCGAAATTCGTGTAGAATGTGTGTGCTGGATGCTGTTCCCCTGGCCTTAGCTGTTGCTCTCTAGACATTATGGAGCTGAAAACCGTGAAGGGGCTGGCACTGCAGGACATCCTGACGGAGATCCACTTGTTTGTGCACAGAGGTAGGTGCCTGGCCACTTCCCCCACCAAGACGTCACGTAGTTCTGGGTTACGAACGACAGTTCGACAGAGAACGAGGCTTTATTCTTGAAAAGGAATGAGGGAGCAGGAATCCGACCTCTTTCTTTTGGCAGGTCTGCCTTGCAATGGAAAACCACTTTTGGATCTCTAGAATTGCTGGAGGAAGTGGCATGGGGGCGGGGAGAGAAAACCACCTTGTATCGGCCCTTTCCTCCAGGAGTTTGTGTTTTATAGCAAAACTTAGTATGCTCGACTTCACACTCCTACAAGATGACTTGCCTGAGAAGAGGGAGATGTGTCCTCATGTAAACCATGGGTGGGGATTGTCCAGCCAGCAGGCCACATAGGGCTTGCGAAATCACTGTACCCCTGCCAAGGCCACCATGGGAAGGTCGGGAAACTCCATACACGTGCAGCTGGCTAGTTTTCCAGTCAACCATCCTGTGTGGCCCACGAATGATGTTATGTACACTCAAATGGCCCTTGGCAAAACAAACAGGTACCCCCACCTGGATGTAAGCCAGAGACCTGAAGAAAACCGCCTTGAGTCATTCTCCTGGTAACTTCTAATGTAATGGATTCTCGGCCCCATAGCGTAGAGGCTATCGCTGTGGTCCACTTGGATGGGCCTCTGGAGCAGCAGCGGGTCTGGGCGTCTTTCCCGGCTCCAGGGGCCCCATGGCCGGGCCTCAGGAGCAGCTCCCTCCTGCACAACTGCCAGCCTGAATGGGGTCGGTGAAGGTGGGTGCTGCCTGTGTACGGCCAGCTGCTGGCTTAGGTCACGATGCCCTCTTCCCGTTTTGGGGATGTGTTTACTAGAGCTCAGCCTGAGGCCTCGGGAGCTCCTGAGCTGTGTGAGATTTCGGCCTTTGCTCATTCTGCCTCACTGGGTTTCTCTTTTCCCTCAGTTGACTTTCCATCGTCGGTCCGAATACATCTCTTGACCAAAATGGCAGATATTGAGTGAGTATTATTTTTGCAGAAGCCCCACCTCTAGTGATTTGTCTCTCGATGCTCAGTCTCAGCTTTGACTAAACCCTCCACATAAGATACATTCCATTTCTTGGTGGTCTTTACCGGGATGTGGCAAAAGATGACAGCTTCTTATTTAAAGGACAGGGGAGTGACAGCAAGGTGTGGCATGGGGCTGTCAGATTTGGGGTGAGGGCCTCCCCTGAGACCCCGAGGCTAAGCCCACATCCATTCTGCAGAGATTGAGGTCACATGGGGACAACCAGCTTTCCAGCTGTTAAGAAGGCATTCTGGCATACTAAAGCATACTGGGGGAAAAGCAAACAGCAGACTCAATTTTCCACTTTGCCTGTTCAGTAAACACTGTTATTAACCCCCAGTGGGGCTGGCAGCTATCATTTAAGTAGGCAGAGCACTGGGTTCAAATAGGCATCCGCACAGGCCAACTCAGACCTGCTGTCCAGTGCGCTGGCTATCAGGCACACAAATCAGGTCACCCCTTCCCAGTACATCATATGATGATGATGCGTCGACAGACACGCAAGAAACGGCACGTAAGCCATCAGCAGCCTGCTTGGCTGAGGAGACCGCTGACTTGAGACAGGTCACCCAGACCTCCTAGGCAGGGAAGTGCCTTAACTGAGAGGAAGAAAACATCATGCAGGTGAACAAATCACCTTTTATCCCAGGAATCCTGTGTATCTGTCAGAACAAAGTGTGGACACTGCCACTGATAACTACAAGTTAAATAATCTATCTTAAAGTCACAGAGCTTATAGAACTATACCATAAAATAATAATAAAAATTGGGGGGGGGGGAGGCAAATTAAAATCATCAAAAAAACAAAAGACCTAGCTTCTTTTCATCATTTTGAATCAGACTTGCGAATGCATGTTTAATGCCAAAAGGTAGATGTTAAGAGGGCCAGATAGAAGAGGGCTATCCAGGGTGAGTTTTGGTGAACTCCCACCCCTATCTGGAAAGTGACTTCTCAGCCCTTGACCTCCGTTCTTCACTCTTACCCCTGTGTTGGGTTTCTTTCAGGTACAGACTTTCCGTTGGCACCAACGAGAAGATTCAGCTGAGTTCTCTCATTGCCGCTTTTCAAGTCACCAGGGACCTCATTGTCTCAGAGGCATAGGTTGCCCCAGGCCTTGACCCCAGTGCCCAGCTGGGCCTGGGGGCAAAGGACCCAGTTATGGACACAAAATGAGCTGCAGTCACCCCAAGCCTTCCCACTGTAGATGGGCACCCACCTGAAAGTCTTATGTTTGCACTGTTTGTTGAGGGGCGAGGGGTGTTCAGGACAGTTTTACTGTGTTGCTTTTCTCTGTACTGCAGGAGGAAAAAAAAAAGCTTTGTTTCCCCAGCATCGACGCTTCTACCTTTTCAGTGACAGGAAAGTAATTAGCCTGCCCCATTTCAGTGGAACACAAAGGCTTCCTCCAAAGCCCATGCATGTCCTCTTTGGTACTGTTACGGCCAACACCATTGGCAAGAAAACAGACTGTGGGGACAAATGTGGTGCCATGGGATAAGCTACTGTCTGCCATGCAGGCATCCCATGGAAGCACCGGTTCAATTCCCAGCCTGTCGCGTTTGCAATCCAGCATCTTGCTAATGCACTTGGGAAATAGCTGGAAGTGACCCAGGTATCTGATTCTCTGTCACCTACATGGGTGACCTGGATAACTCCTGGTTTCGGCCTGACCCAGTTTTAACTGTCAACGGCCATTTGGTCTCTAACTCTGCCTTTCAAATAAATTTAAAGAACAGAATTTTCTTATTTAAAAAAAAAAAAACTGGCCTTTTTATTTCTCCTCTTTAAGGTGAGGAGTTACCAGCAAGTTCCAAATTGCAATGTGAATAGCAGGGGAAAAAGCCTTTTAACTTAAAACACGGAGTGAAGCCTTTGAACACATCCCTGGGGACCAGAGGCTCTAACGCGGGCTGGTTGAGTGCACAGAAGGCAGAGGTGAGGTTATACCTGACCATAGCCAGGACTGCCGAGAGGACCAGGGAGTTTGAACAGATCTAACAGTACATCAGCTGTCCTTATGTCAGTGTCTTCACAATAAACCAGTTTGCTGACTGGTCACCTTGCAAGTGACTCTCCCCTTGGCCAGCTGCACACTGACTAGTTGAACTTGCTCATGTTTAATGCCCTGTATCTACACTCAGAACAGACCTTGGAGGCTGCTCTTGACAGAAGCATCAAGATTCTTAGGATGGTCTGAGTTGTGGTTTTCAAACATGGAATGGTGGGAAAGCAGCTCATTCAGTACAAGCTACACTTTGAAGCTTGGCCCCTGGTCCTTGGCTGGTAGTATTCCCCAGTCCTCTGGCAGCCACGACCCCCACCAGCCCCATGAGCACAGGGGAACTGGGTCAGGCCTTTCCGCACCCAGCATTGTCAACGCACCTCAGTCGGGGAGCACCTGCTGTCTAGAGGGAGAAGTCAGTTCCTCTTTGTGTGAGTGCCTCCCATTCTGGGCTGTGTGATTACTTCAAAATACCCAGAAAAGGGAGCCAGTTGGCCAGTCCACTCCCAGCAGTTGTACTACTAGTTTTTTTTTAAGAAAAAAAAAAAAGGAAATAGATGGAACAAAGAGGCAGACAAGCTTTTAACTTTTCCCCCCATCCCCCAGGACAGGCCCCTTGGGAAATGGCTTTTCTGCAGCAGTGTCTGCAGTAGTGGAGAAGGTTCCCCTTCCTGCCCAACAGCCATGAAATGCTGATCAAGAAGGCCAGAGTCAGGTGCTGCCCTTGGCTTACCTAATAACTTAAGATATGTTACTTTTCCCTGAGGCAGACTTTGGATGAGGTATCTTGATGAGGGACCTACAGATCATGAGCTCTGAAGGAGCGCCCCTGAGGGGGCTGGAGCTGACACTGGCTGATGAATCCTGGGAGGTCTGGCAAAACGGCCAGGTGCTGCTACCGAAGAGACCAAGACACCCGCTTTTCACACAATGAAGACACATCTCTGTGTTAAGTATTCTGGTTTTTAGATACCATGGAGGAAAACACAGTTGTACCTTAACATCTGTTGGGAAAAGACAAATAAATAGGATGCGACCAACCGACACCTCAGGAGCTGTCGAAACAGTCATGCAGTTCAGGGATATGTTGTCCTTGGATAATCTGACACACATTTGTCACCCCCTGCACATGCATACCATTGTTTAAAAAGAAAAAAAAAAAAAAAAGCCATAGTGTCTGAGAGAGTCTGGAATGCTGTCTCTGATCTCCGATTTCACCAGGAATTTAGTTAAGCTAAATAGCTCCAAGACAAGCTCATCGGGCAGGTCAGAGGGGAGCCCCAGGAAGGCCAATGTCATAGCAATGCTGACCACACCCACAAGAGAATCAGAAGCTACGCTCCCACTGCCTCCAAACACAGGCTGATGGGTCCCAGGTGGAGGCCAGCCCTCCCCGGGCAAGCGGTGTGAACCCCTCCACCGCTGAGGGCAGGCTCAGGAACCAACCTATCTTCAAAACACCACCAGTAACCGCACTTAGAATCAAAACAACTAGCTGTTCATAAGATGACCAAAGACTAAAGGTAAGGCTCTGTTGCCATAGGGCTGAAATGTCTTCCTCTTTAACGACTGACACGCCATGGAGAGAGAGGCTCATGATGGGTTCGCTGCAAACGTTGCTGCTACATTCTTTGCCCAAGCCCTAAGCAATTCTACTCTAATCCTAGGACACTCATGTGACTGTCATTCCAGATACTTCTTTGCCGGGAAGATGGATGCCATTAGAGGAAACAAGACATGGAGTGTTGCTTAAAAAGTCCTGTATGTGAGGAACTCTTTCATTTTCTTAGGGATTGGCAGTGCTAGGACTTGGTAGGTTGTTAGGAAACTTCGAAGGGCTTTCCGGCACAAGTGCTTCAGTGAGGAGAGGACTCTAGGAGCTGTCCAGAACTGGACGTGGCCGTCTCTTGTCCTGCAATGAAACGAACACATGTGTTAAGACAGACCTTGCACCGTGATAATGATCAAGTTTCACCTTGGACTTGAAGTAGTAAGAGTTGACGGTGGAAATGGACGTAATGTTGCAGTGCTGAAGTTAGGCACTCGAGCAAATCCTACTCCCTCTGTGGGCACTGCCCTCGAAAACTTGCTAGTTCCTAAGCAAGAGGGAAGGGTGCCCCTACTGCACTATAGGTGTGAACACCTGTAAGTTGGTCTCAGTTTCACCTTAGTATAAGCTTCTTGGTGGACATGCCCCACCTGGCTGGGAGCAGGATCTGTAAGCTGAAGTTAGATTTTAAAAGTAAATAATGACATAGTATCTTGGCAAACTAGTGTAACTCAGTTTTTTACATCATCTTAGATTTCCACAAAGCCTTCCCATAGGCAGAAAATTGGAGATGCTCTCTTTCCTTAAAAAACTGCAACTCCATGTATGTGGCTTGTAGATACGCACCCTGTGGCAATAACTCCACCATGTGGGAAAAAGGTGCAGCAGAGACCATTGGTCATGGGAGCAAACGCGATCGGAGTCTTCAGCTCCAGTGCCCAGATCCTGAGGAGCCTGGAAAAGAAACGAAGGGACAGTCACACCGAGGCTGATGGCAGGGGTGCAAAGGGGACTGTGGCCATGACTTGGCACAGACAGCGCCATCGCTGTTACCTGTCATCTGCCACCGTGGCGAGGTACAGCCCTTCCGGAGAGAAGCACACAGATCGCAGGGAGCTCATGTGGACGTCACTGTCGTCCACGGCAGGGTCGAGCTGGGTGTGGCTGAGGAAAGAGACAGCAGGGCTGATGCGATGGCCACCCTTCTCCCCAGTGGGGGCAAAGGGCTGTGGCTGTGATGGGTTCACCCCTAGCATCCAGAGAAGGCTACATTTCAGAAGGCTCCAAGAGACCCTGTGTGGAGGGCCTGGGGCGAGGATGACGAGGGGTCACTAACATTTCCTTATGCAAACCAGGTCAGACCTCACTTCAACCTCACAGTACTACTCAAAGTCTTTTTTAGGCGAAGGTAGGTGACAAGTATGGAACAACCTATTATTTGCTTCATAAAACGACAAAAAGGGAAAGGAAAAAGCAGATGGGGCCTGTGAGAGTATGAACATTCATTTTGGAAGTAACGGTTTCTGTAAGAGCATCATTCAAAGCATGTTACTGCAGTTATTAGTAAATGGAAACAAAGAGTCACTTGGAGGTTTCACAACAGTGAACTTGAGGCAGGAGCGCAAAGACACGCAGCTCTCAGCTGAACTGGCAATGCCACACTAACACAGGCCCCTTGGTGCCTTTGTACTTGGGCTGTGCCCTTGCCTGTTCAGACTCTAACAGGGCCTTGTCTGAGCTGAGGTGGGCGTCTTGGCACCCATCCCTCAGGGTGAAGTCGCAACAGGGGTCAGTCCTTACTGGAGTGACCGCAGCCTCTCCCCGGTGTACGGGTCCCACATGATCACATTGGTGTCGTAAGAAGCCGTGACAAGCAGGGCCGAGTCCGGGGAGAAGTCACAGGAGACAACACTGCTTTGGTGACCTTCTAGCTTCCGGATCAAGGTGTAGGAGCGCATGCTCCAGAGAAAGACCTGTGGGAAGGAACAGGCGTGTGGTGAGAGGCACAGACCAAGCGCTTAGCTTGGACTCGGACAGAGCCAAAGGCCCCTGGGTTGGATATGCTGGCGCTCGTGCCCCTCCCTGCATCTGCAGCTCTTTCATCCAGCTTTCTGTAAGACCAGGGCTCTGCCCTCTTGAGGCACTAGACCAGTGTGTGCACTCCAAGAGCTGACTTGAAGGGAGAGTAACCCGGCTGGAGCCTATGAAAACTGCAACACAGAAACCCCTGGGCTTTGTTTGCAAATGGGAGTACATGCCAACAGACTGAAGCCAAGCAAAGTCTTAAAACCAAAAAGAGGAGTCGGAAGTAAACCCTAGGGCCACCCCACAAAGCAGTGGCACCTGCTGAGACATGTAATACCCACGCCTTGCTCAGAGAAACCTGGATCTGCCCCAAGACTACTTCTGACCTAGCTCAGCACCTCAGACCTGAGTCAGTAAAAAATCGATTTTACAAAAAAAAAAAAAAAAAAAACCACTTTGTTTTTCCTTTATCAGGGTTGGCAGCCTTTCTTATTGCTGGGGCCATCAGGATAGTTACAGCATAATTCAAGGGCCATACAGTCCGCTAGAGGGTTGCTAAATTTCAAGTGCAGCTGCTTTTGGAAGGCCCAGAACAAATGAGTTCCCAAGCCTTAGAGGACCGGTGGGCTGGACATCCCCCACCCCTGCTTTAGGGACAATCTCATCAAGTCCCAGACCTCAGATCCATGATTAACGCCCTGGGCCACACTGACCAGGAACTTCCCCATCAGTCACAGCAATGCAAATACAAAGCACAAACACAAACAAACTGGGCTCCCAATACTTGAAAAAAAAATTAAGAACAGAATTTCAGGACAATTTTTTAAACTGGAAGTCTTATTTCAATGCATTAAGTTAGAAGATGATTGAAAGAAAATTGAGTTCCATAGGTGGGTCCAAATCTGATTCCTGTGTGTGAGAGACAGAAAAGCATCCCTGTCTCTGTAGAGGGAAATGGCTCTCTATGGATGCGAGGCCTACCTTCCTGCCACACCTGTTCTTTGCTGCTTGCAAACCCACATTACAACACCAGCACAGGAGGCCACAGCCCGCTGCCTTCTGGGGGGGTCCAATTCACTAATGCGTTCTGAGGACACTTTGTTCACACACACACAATCTCTCTCTCTCTCAGGGCCACTGCTCCAGACCTCTGTGTCTCATGGGACTATAGTAGCGGAGGGAGTGGCGGGACCCGCACGAGTCGGTGGCGACTTACCGACTTCTCTCCAGCTGCGGAGCACAGCATGCTGCAGTCTGGGGAGATGGAACAGCAGTAAACCCACTGCAGGTGGCCCGATAGCACCTGAATCTGTTTACCTGGCAGAGACAGAGGCAGTCCTGAGCCAAACACTCCCAACAGCAAGACATGAAGGCCGTAAACCTGGTGGCCAGGGGCAGCCCGACCCTAGGATGTCCATGGGCTCTCCATCAGTGGGGTCCCCGGGGCCCGCTTATTTAATGCAAGGAAGAAGCAGCACAGTAACTGTCAGGCAGGTGCCTAGAATCTATTAACTGGGAAATGGGCAGCCATCCATGGTGGGATGGGAGGCACACAGGATCCCACACCCATTGGTAGCAGAGAGTGTTCTTTACAGATATCCAAGTTCTCTAAGTATCCTTTCCAACTCAGACAATGTTTTCATTCTCCCACATATCCCAGGGCAGGTGGTGGTCCCCCTCCGAGGACCCGCACTGGCATGGGATGGTAAGAGGTGAATTCTCTGTAAGCACACAGTTTGGGTTTGAATCCCGGCTCTACTGCTTACTCAGCACTGAAGCCGGGTTGGCTCCCCTTGCCCTTTGAGTCTTGGCCTCTGAGCAAACCAGATACTCGTCCACAGGGGGATAAGCAAAGAAACAGGGACCTCCCCGTCCCAGCCTCTAAATGCAGACAGCATGAGCACCATGGATTTTTTTCCCCAAGGGTTTCTTGGGGTAATAGCTCAAAGAAGAAAGAAAAACACAGAAGATGTGTTTTGTGAGCTGATGACCCCAGTGAACAGGCATAAGACGATAGCTGTACAGGGATCACGACGCAAGGACACACACTGGGCTCCTCTCGTGGGCCGCTGGGTCCCCGGAGAAGACATGAGGACGTCTCGGGGAAAAGACAGAGAGAACAGGGGAGCAAAGAGCCAAGCAAGCAAGAGACAAGCTTCAATAAGCAGACACAGTCACACAGATGAACTGATGAAGCTTACATGTACATGCAGACTGATTTACATATACAGTGTTTTATATGTGTATATAAATCAGGTTTTTTTTTTTATCATGGTTTGTTCAGGTGTCAAATCTTAAGATGCTGTGAGAATTAAATAAATTAAGGCAACCCAGGTGGGGTGGGGTGGGTGGGGGTCAGGCACCTGAGAATGCAACTTGATTCCCCTCTTTTCCTCTGAAAAGCTCCGTCGTAACTGGCCTCATCCATTCCGCGTACACTGTCACCTTCTGTGGTCCTCCCACCAGCAGGTGGGTCCCAAAGTCACTCCATGGCCCATCCACAGCTGGTGTCTGCCTGCCTCTGGACGCTCATTGACAAGGCACTGGGGATGGTCCTGACTACGAGCAAGCCTTTTTGTGCCAGCTGAGGACACGGTGAGAAGATGGCCATCCTGGGGCCAGAAGCCACAGCACCAGGCTCCTGGACCTCGTCCTGAGCCTCCAGACTGTCAGCAATGGCTAGGTGCTGCTGGAGCTGCCCAGTCAGTCTATGGGATTTATTAATTACACTGACTGCAGCTGAGTAAGAAGCTACATGTTGGCCCTGGCGTGAGAGCCTAGTGGCTAAATCCTTGCCTGAGCTGGGATTCCATATGGGCACTGGTTCATATCCCAGCTGCTCCACTTCCCATCCGGTTCCCTGTTTGTGGCCTGGGAAATTAGTCAAGGACGGCCCAGAACCTTGGGACCCTGCACCCACGTGGGAGACCTGAAAGAAGCTCCTGGCTCCGGATCAGCTTAACTCTGGCCGTTGCCACTTGGGGAATGTACAAGTGGACAGAAGCTCTTTCTCTGTCTCTCCTTCTCTCTGCATATCTGCCTTTCCAATAAGAAAATACGAAAAATTAAATTACAGAATGAAGCCACATGTTATCAGGCTCAACCATGGGGGCAGGACAGTGGTCCCCACTTGTGGTTGTGGGAGCTGGCCAGTTATGGCCCAGGCAAGAGGCCTGCTACATTGTGGTGATGAATGCACGTCTTGGCCAGCCCTATATTTTGTCACGGCCTCTCCACTTCCATTCCCTGCAGCCTGAGCCCACCCGTTTGCAGCAGAAATGGCAAGTCCTCCTGTCACCTTCCCGATCCAAACCAGACCCGTATAGGCATCCTAAATGGGCCACCACTCCCTCTATGCAGCCGGAGAAGGCAGGATTCCATAAAGGTAGACCCCTCTGGCCTAAGAGAACTCATTCTAGTCCCAGGTTCTACCTCACAAAGAAACCCTTACTTCCAACAGAGGCACCCAACAGGGACTTCTTCAAACCAGTGGCTCTCCCTGGGTGACTCTGAACAATGAAACAACTGGCACCACTTGGAGAGGTGCCATGGGTGCTAAGGAGACCAGACATGCTGCTCAACATCCTATAATACACAGATCATCCAGCCCCAAATGTTGGCAGTGCCAAGGAGGAGAAAACGTGTCCAGATAACATATTTCCACCTTGGGTGGCTGTCACCCCCAAGGGCATGAAAAACTGGTTTTTGGTGAATGTAAGAAATCTTACATTTCTTAGGTGTAAAGCACAGATATGCATTTCAGGGCATAAACAGAGAATCGGCCTTCTTATCTGGGTTCCACATCTGCTGATGCAACCAGCCATGAGTATCTTCAAAAGCTGCGTCTATGAAGAACTCGCACAGACATGTTCTGGCCTTATTCTCACGCAGTATCCACCAAACCACTGTTCACCTAGTACTCACATGGAACCAGGAGTCCGAGGTAACTCAGATGCTCTAAAGCCACAGAGGGGGACATGTGTGGGTCCTGAGCACATGTGGCACCATGTTTTACATGGGACTGGTGTGTCTGCAGGTTTTGGCCCCTGCAGAGGGGCCCGTCAGCAGACAGCAGGGGACTGCGTGACAGTCTTTGGTACAGGACGAGTGTGAGAGCAGGGGCTTCTCTAACAGTGCTCCTTAGAAGATGGTAACAGGGAAAATATGGCTGGGAAACGCTGTTAGAGAGAAAAATGACATTGGCCGAGTGGAGAAAGGGGACAAACGGAACCATTCCGGAAATGCCAGATAGCGCCTTCAACCCCATACCGTGTTTATTCAGGTCCCAGATGCGAAGAGTCTTATCCCGCGATGCTGAGACCAAGATCAAACTGCCGCTGGGAGTGAAGCTCAGGTCCCTCACGACGTCCTGGTGGCCTGAGAGATTCAGAAGCAGGAGCCCTGGCGTGGGGGCAGGAGTGCACGGTCAGAGCTGGGCGGGGAGGGGAAGCGGGGAGTCGGGGTGTGGTATCAGTCGGAAATGGCTCCAGCCTCCCAGGACTTCGTGCCAGCCAGGAAGGACCTACCTGTCTGGACCTCCCAAATCTTGATCTGCCCATCGTTGAGTCCCGTGGCAAGAATCAGGCAAGACACATCTGGCACTGGGGGATGGTGGCGCGCCCAGAGCTTCCTACTGGGTGGGGAAGGCCACGGGCTGAAGGCCAAACCCCAGACAATCTGACCACAGTCCAGCGTCTTCTCCTTCGGGCTGCCTCGTCCTTTTGGGTCATTTTTGCTACTTCGGCTTTTGGCTTCAAATCCTTTAGGGATGCTGGAGGAAGTAGAGATCTCTGGATGAGTTTAAAATTGCTATCCAATTAACCAACTTTTCATCCTGGGACATCTTAAGAAAGACTTGAAAGTTCTAGAAGCACTTTGGCCTGAGGCAGATTCTCATGGGACTTTTCTTTCTGGCTCTTTTAAAATTTCAGGTGAACAAAGAGACCCCTCCCCTTTGCAGCAACTCTGCCACTGGGTGACCTGCCACTACAGGGTGACCTGCCGCGTGCGGAACTAGATCACAGACACTCCAGGGAGCAGCAGGCTTGCTCAGGGAGTTCCCTCGGGCTTCAGCGCATGGAAAGAAAAGATGCATTGGGCTTTTCCTGTGAGAAAGCAGGTACACTCAGCCCATGGGTCTGGAACGAGGACAGTGTGTGGAGCCTGAAAACCCATGGGCTGCATGGTATGAACCCCTGGCCTCCAGCTCAGATACACTGAAGCACTGGGACACAACCCCCTTTCGAGCTGCTCTAGTCCATCTGGTAAGTATTGACTTCCCTCTTCACTCCCTAGCTTCCAACGAACAAAGCTCTCGCACAGGTGTACAGCTCTCTCCCTGACGTACACCCAGCAGGGGCGCCGATGAGCGCGGACATCCACAGGGCAAAGAAACCACAGAAACATTCCAGAGTGCACTGCCCCAAACACCTCTCAGCCAGACTCTCTTCCATCGCCCTTGAGGTGGCCTCGTCCCTAAGACACAAGGCCCTGCCTACCCATGGCTATGCCAAGTCACAGGGGCACAAGCAGGTGTGGGTTCCGGCCTGTTGAGCGCCGAGTTCGCTGTCTGCCCTATGCGTCACAGTGGCATTGTCGTACAGAACCTGACCCTGACGGTTGACAGCTGTGCAGCAAACCCAACAGACAGGTGACAAGACAGCTGGACCTGGGGGCACATTCGGATTGGTTCCATGAGAAACCTTACACACGGCACACCCATAGCTGGACTTGGCCATGGAGTCGGTGTGCCCCTGCAAGGTTGTGAGTAAATCACATTTATGTCAATCGTGTGTAAAACATATTAAAGAATTTTAACCAAGCTCACCTGGAAAATCAGTGGGAAGGAACTAAAGCTTTCTGCCAGTCTAAATCCCAGGCGGTCAGACTCTGCCCAGGCCGGCAGTCTGCCTTTGCTCTTTCAACAAACCCTGGGTTTGTCAATTTTTTTAAGGTATACCTGACAAGTAAAAATTATACACACACACATATAATTTATATATAGCATATATGTATGTGTATATATATTTTATGGATATATATTTAAAGATAATATATGTGTGTATATATATATATATACATATACACATGTATACATTTATTTCATTTTTATTTGAAACATAGAGTCACAGAAAGAGAGACAGAGAGATATTTCATTCTCTAGTTCACTGCCCAGACAGCCACGACAGTCAGAGCAGCCAGGAGCTTCTCCGGGTCTCCGGGCCTCCAGACTTGGGTCATCTTCCGCTGCTTTCCCAGGATATCAATAGGGAGCTCGATCGCAAGTGGAGTAGCCAGGATACGAACACCCACATGGGATGCCAGTGTCACAGCCGGCAAGTTTGCCTACTACCCATGGCACCAGCCCCCAAAATGAAATGTATTAACGGATTATGATGAAAACCATGTTTTGATACATGTCTACATTATGAAATGGTTAAACCAAGCTAATCCACATATCCTTCACCTCACTTAGTTAGCACTTGTGGTTGTGAGAACATGGAATCTAAAAGTAGTCAGATTGTACTTACACTACCGGAGGACAGACAATGTCCCTGGGATATAATCTCATGGGGAAAATGATCCCACGTGTGGCTTTTCACTAACCAAAACACTATTACGTGGTGCGTAGCTGTGACACAATCTCCATTTTAGGGAGAGGGTCACTAGCATTCCTGAGTCCAAGGCTGGGGCAGAAATGGAACTAGAACTCAAACCTTGGCGCTAGCGTGGTGGCGCAGTGGGTAAAGCCGCCCCCACAGATGGAATCGGCATCCCACATGAGGTGCCAGTTTGTGTCCAGAGCAGAGGATGACTCAAGCACTGGGGCCCCTGCCACCCCCTGGGAGACCCGGACAAAGCTCCCAACCTCGGCCTGGCCCTGTCATGCCTCTTTTGGCAAAACAGTAGCTAGATCTCTCCCTCACTCTCTATAACTCTTTCAGATAAATTACATTTGTTAGCCAAGGGCCAAGAAGTGATTCTTTCAGATAAATTAATAAACCTTAAACAATTGAAAAAAACCTTCATGTCAGGTATCCTAGCCCCAAGTGTAGCAATCAACAAATGCTCAGTTTCCAAGTTGGCTAATGAATCAAAGGTGAATTACGTGGGAGGTGGTAGTCGGGGAAGGCAGATTTCACTGGCTGAACTCGGCTTCACGGAAACTAAACTTTCCAACTTTTTATTTCTAAAAGTAGAACAACTATGTGGTTAATCTCAATGTTTCTCAACAGAGAAAGCATTACTTTACAGGTTTTTTGTTTGTTTGTTTTGTTTTAAATCTGTCACAATCGTAACAAGAGCAGAAATGCTTTCCTCCTCATGAAGGATTTGAAGGTATCAGTTCCTTGAAGTTACAAAAATTGAGTCAAAAGATAATTGTGGGCCCAGTGCGGTGGCCTAGTGGTTAAAGTCCTTGCCTTGAACACGCCGGGATCCCATATATGTGCCAGTTCTAATCCCGATGGTCCCATTTCCCATACAGCTCCCTGCTGGTGACCTGGGAAAGCAGCAGAGGATGGTCCAAAGCCTTGGGAACCTGCACCCATGTGGGAGACCCAGAAGAGCTCCTGGCTCCCAGCTTCGCATCAGAGCAGCACCAGCCATTGCGGTCACTTGGGGAGTGAATCATCGGATGGAAGATCTTTCTCTCTGTATATGACTTTGCAATAAAAATAAATAAATCGTAAAAAAAAAAGGATAGTTGTACTTTTGTATACTTTTAAACCTATGCATATACATATTTATCTATAGCGATATATGTCTATGTGTGTACATATACACATATCTGTATATATGTGTAAGTACATATATGTATCTGTGTATATATATCTGTATATATGAAACCAGATTGTTCCACTTGATGCTTTAGAAAATCCATTTCATCTCAAAACATATATCAAACTAAAGCCTAGATATGAGATAGGGACCCTCATATTTAGAAACTCAATAACCAATGACTGGCTTTGGCGTGACCATTACAGTGACTGGAGAAGGAACTGAAAAGTTTGAGTACACATGCAGCAGTCTCCGATGGCTGTAAAAGCACCATACGGGAATGAGAGCATTTCCTGAAATAGCCTTTCTCATCCCTACATGTTAAACTAGCTCTGATTTTTTTTTTTTTTGTCACTACTAATAATCAGTTTCATGACAAAAACCAGTGAATGCCGAAAACTCCTTTCTGATGTTCCTGACAGCAGAGAGAAGGGCTGGTAAGTCCTTCATGGATTTTACCCCAAAGTCTTCCTTCTGACGACACAGGACAAAACCAAACTCAGTTTTCCCCCAAACATGTTGGGGGTTTCCTCACACATTAAGCAAGCAACTGACTCTGTCGGCTGGAACCCATCTCCAGTGTGACGCTTCAGACGTCACAGGACGGGGGTTCGGGCCCTGGGAGCGCCCTCTCCTCACCGCGCAGGCCATGCTGCCTTACCTGTAATCCCACAGCAGTAAACCAGTTCCCAGAAGGAGTGGCTCACAGAACTCAGGAGGACCTTTGCCTCTCCTCACCCGTTTACTACCAAGGATGCGACAGAACCACCAGGTAAGAGACTCACTCCCCAAGTGAGCAGGGAAGGAAGGGGTGTGCCCTCCCTCCGCCCCTGGGACGAGCAGCCTTCAGGAAACGCCAAGCGCTCAACTACCCAAACACCTGCTTCACCGGTCTCACGTCACACAGCATGGCAGTCGAGTCAACTTCCGGCCACTGGCTACTGACCTAACCTTCAGCCCATTTTTCCCTTCCCAGGACACTGTCCTCAGAAGTCCCAACCCTCTACTCCTGACTGTCCAGTCACCAGCCCCCATCCTGCAGCTCCCCAGTGACTGCCAGCCATCAGCCAACTCTATGGCAACACAGAAAAGTCACAGCTCACTTCGGAGACTCAGGACTGCAGGAGTGCCAGGAAATGGGAACCAAGACTAAACGCCAACTTTACAGTGTTACACCCTCCAATCCCAGCAATTGCAAAGCACCCAGCTCAGCAAGCTGTTATCAAGGCAACAGGGCTCAGGCTGAATTTACAAAGAGCTCAAAACAACCACACTGTTTGTAAGACATGCCCCAAACACATGCCCTCAGGGCCACACTGACTTCTTTCAGGACTCTCAGCTCTTAGCTCAGTTTTGGGCAAAGAAGATCTGCCACACGTGTTGACTGAATACATAAATGCTGACATAAAGTTGCCCTGGGACAAATGAGAAGATACTGATGCTGGGTCGGCTGGCTGGGAGGGCAGCACTCAGATACTGGGACCCGACCTTATCAAAGAAAGAAAAACCCTGGTGTCAGAATCTGAACTAGACCGATAACAAAAACAATCAACTTTCAAAATGCACAAAGGATACGGACTGACATTACTGCAAAGCAGGTCAAGAGCCACCAAACATGTGAGCTGGGGCCAGCAGAAAATGACACAACACCACTTCACGCACAGGAGCATGGTTGCACCCTCATCAACAAGACAAACACTGCAATGGCACGTGCTGGAAGGGCGTGCGGGACCAAACCTGAGCATGCTGCTGGAGGGCCTGCCAAATGGTGCCACTACTTCGGAAAATCGCCCAATGCTTCTTCCCTTGAAGACGATGTATACTCGCCAACATATACATGTGTGTTCATGGCAGTGCTACCCACAATAGCCAGAAGGCGAGAGCAACACCAGGGCCTTCCAACCCACCAACATGTAACAACTGGGCAGCTACACACGTGATCACACATGGCTGCTCCATGCCACAACCTGGACAAACTGAAAACACACTGCGAGGTGAGAATCGAATCCCCAAGGGTTCACGGTCTATGATTCCATCACTACAGAATACCCAGAACAAGAGAGAAAGGAAGGTAAGCAGGTGCCTAGAGCTGGACAGGGTGTGGGTGGGAGGTACCGGCTCAGGCACACAGGCTTTCTTTGTGGGGGGATGGGCTGTCTTGCCCTCGAATGGGAAAACTGCAGGGGTCATGCAAACGGCCGTGCTCTGCGGACACACAGTACTCACAAGTGCTCCTCCAGGGGCCAGGGGATCAGCTTGACAATGCAGTGTCCTTGGGACCAGGCGAACCAGGAGCCATCCGGGGAGAAGGCGACGCTCCAGGTTTCACAGCTCGACTTCCAATCAAATTGGTGGGGGCGCCCGGGCTTGAGTTCAGCCAGCAGCAGCGGCTCCTCTGGGGCGGGAGACAGCATACTTCATGAGCCACACTCCCTCCAGACCACCCTGCCTTCCCCACGCAAAGACCACAGAATCCGGCAAGGAGTTGAAATTTAAATGACCTGGGCAGTGAAGGGAGCCACTGGCCACATTCCACCGCGGTTACTCAGTCCTAAGTGCTCCTCACTGCTGGTTAACCATGACTCAGGAGTAACCTTTGTGCGGGTAAACTCAGTAAGTGGGAGCCTCCTTTACGCCATAAAGGCCTGGACAGGAAGAACATGGACAGTCAACAAGTTTGGACTATGCTAGTTGGGGGGGAGAGAGGGAGAGAAGTGTGCTAGACCACTGCAAAAGGGCCAGGCTTTGCCATGCATTTATGCCCCGACAGTAGAGCTTGCAATGGAGAGCCGGGTACGCGGAGGCGAACCTGAACCTGAACCTCGGCGGCATCTCCCTCTCCAGGACCTGGGCACTCCCTTCCAACAAGGCACCCAGGGGTCTGCCCTCACCCTCCTCTCTCAGACCTGCTCATTAGCACTCTGCAACCCCCACCCCCTCTCTGTGCCAACTTATCTTGCCCTAATCTTTGACACAGTCTCCTGAACCATTTTTCCTGTCTCTGGAAACCCTGCAAAAGCTGAAACACATGATCATGCACATTTTTCAAAGGCATTCCATGCTGCCTGCCACCTGCGCAAGCCACTGACCAGGCCTTTCGCCCACCCCATGTGCCTGAGCCGTGGGTCTCCAGTCTCCTGTCCATCACATCCTCCTGCGTGCCATCTCCAAACCCGCATCTCCTGGACATGGCCCAGGGAGCTCATGGACAGTCTCACCATCTCTATGCTCTCTCCTGGAACCAGCATTTAAGCACCCTTCTTCCGACACCAGGATGACTTTAGTCTCTCCCAGTGCCTAGCAAGAACCTTGCAAAAGCGGGCACTGGATTAACACTTTGGACCAAAAATGGCAGCTCAATCCTCTATTCCAAACGAAGAGTCTCAACAACCAACCAACAGTCGCACACTAATATAAAAGCAGCTTCTGGGCCCAGTGCAGTAGCCTAGTGGGAACAGTCTTCACCTTACAAGTGCCAGGATCCCATATGGGTGCCGGTTCATGTCCTTCTGCCTATTGGACTCCTGCTTATAGCCTGGGAAAGCAGTCAAGAACGGTCCTGTACCCATGTGGGGGAGATCCAGAAGAAGTTCCTGGCTCCCGGCTTTGAATCAGCTCAGCTCTGACCACTTGGAGAGTGAATCAGTGGACAGAAGATCTTCTCTGTCTCTCCTCTTCTCTGTAAATCTGCTTTTCCAGTAAAAATAAACAAACTTTTAAAAAGTGGCTTCCACCATGGATGATGTCGCTTCCTAACATGTTTATGTTATCCTGAGCAATTCCAGACTGACCCTTTTACTGCTGTTAACTAATAGGTACTACTTTGAATAACTTTATATATTTACATATATAAAAGAAAGGTCACATATTTAAAAGAAACATCTTTATATGGCTGCTTTATTTTTGACACTGTTGGTATTAGGGTGCATCTTACAAGTGATGGCTTTGCATACTTCAATGGTTAATAGTTTTTCCTGGTGACACATCATATAATCTACATGACTGTGGATTCAATGAAACAGATGGTCAAGTTGTAGCTGTGCAGGCATACACTTTCCTGGCATATGAATGATTCAAGGTGAAAGTGTATTTTGTTTGATGAAATAGGTGTGCGGCTGGTTGTATGGAATAATGGGGTAATGTCACCACCTGGAATGCCAGCATGCCCTAGGGGTGTCAGTTCAAGTACCGACTATTCCACTTCTGATCTAGTCCCCTGTTAATGAAGATGACCCAAGTGCTTGGCTCCCTGTAACCACACGGGGGATCCAGAAGCTCCAGGCTTCAGCCTGGCCCAGCCTTTTAGGGAGTGAACCAGCAGCCAGAGGGAGGAGCTCTCTCTCTGTCTCTGTTAACTCTGCCTTTCAAGTCACAATAAATTTTTAAAAAAACTGATGTTGCTGAAGTTCCAAGCAGAGTTCTAGTAAATCTCATCAAGCCTTTGTAAAGAAAATACTCATTTCTAGAAATTCTGTCTGTACATTTCAATATATTAATCTCCCTAAATTGGTATTTGTGTAGATGCAGACGGTTCCTCCCAGAAACCTCTAAGTGTGTGATCATCTCATTTATGCGATCACGTGACTGCATAATAAGCATCTCCACGGGATGGGAACCCTTGCATGATAAGAAAAGTCATTTTGTCTCTTAAATCCAGAACCTCTCCGAATGTGAGGCAGCTATCTCTGGATACTGTCCTGTGGTAACACGGGCCCTAATCTGCTCATGTCTCCCTCATGTAACCCAAGGAGTCCCCAGCAGGTGATATGCCCCTAGAGGGACACTGGCAGTGCCCAGGCCTGGGGGTGGGCTGCTAGCAGCACCTAGCTGCGTGGAGGTCAGGAATCCTACTTAACACCCTCCTGCAGCACGCAGAACAGCTCACCACAAACACTTATCTGGCCCCAAATGGCACTAGGGTTGGCGCTGAAACACATGGAAGCAAATCCTGAATGACACTAACTGCTCTGGGGACACGCTTTCACTTGACCTGTATGAAAATCTCCTTTATTTCATTCTGGTAGAATTCACGCTGGGTTCACTCTCTCAACAGACACAACCATTTGACACCAGGGGGCTGTATTCTACATTAAGGGAATCGCCTGTCATTTCTCTTCTCTTTACCTCCCAAACCAAACCTATCCACAACTGCCGGCCATCACACGCTCCGGACAGCGCAGCATCTACCCGTCACCATGGCAACATCATCTCCCTCCCTACCCCGCCCCGTGAGGCAGTCTTCCCCATGTTCATGTTCTCCTCCTGTCCACTCTGGCCCCTCACCTCCAAGTGATCAGCTTCAACCACTCTGAGAATAGAACCTAAACTCTCACCTGGCTCCTGCCTTTGTCTTGCCCACCTGAGCTGTTTTCTCTGTCACCAGCTTGTACACACTGGGCCTGCCAGCTCCCCCAGCCCCGGCTGTGCTCATTTTAGTTCCAACCTCAGGAACTAAGGCATTCGGCCTGGATGCCTCCCTACAGCTGGTGCCTTCTCCTCCCTGAGGTCTCACTCAAAAGACAGCTTTTCTCCCACGTGTGTGATTATGCAGCCAGTAAATATTTGTTGAATAAATACATGTTACACCTCTTCCCCTAAAAAGGAAATCAAGTCCCTTAAACTACGAGGAGGTTCATGTCAGACACATCTCATGAAGCCCTTCTGCCCGGACTTCCCACTCTATTTCTGTCCTTTAGGGATCTTTGTCTCGGCTATTTAAGGTGCAGAAACCCATGACTCCCATCTCTTGGAGTCTGCACTCAGACTAAAGTCTGGCTGCTAGAAAAGCCATCATTAGTACAGAATTTCAGAAGGAATCAGATGGAGCCTGGGGCATCCGGCTTCAGTCTGGGACTGTACCAGTGTGGGCCCTTGCCGATGAAAAAAATAAAAAACAAGGATCAGGATTTTCTTGGACCAAAATAGTATGGAGTATATGCTTTTACACTTGTGTCAAGTGTGGAATGGCTCAACCAAGCTCATTAACATATGCAACACCCACATGTTTGGGATTTTTTTGTGGTGAGAACATTGAAAAGGGACTCTCAACAACAGGCAACTCTATGTTGTTATTTATTAACTACAGTCACCATGCTGTGCCACAGGCCTCTAGATCTCACTCTTCCGGTCCAACTCAACTTCTGTAACCTTTGACCTACTACACTCCATCCCATCCCCTAATAAGGGTTTGTGTTGGGCATGTGTTGGGATAACCAGACTGGGAAGGGAAGATATTTACCACTAGGAGGGGCTGTCAGTGTCACAATGGAGAAGATGGCTCTGAGCCCGTTCTCATCTTTCTGTCACAGGACCTTCATGTCAGCTACAGCTCTTTGCTGCCCCATTATCAAGGCCCAGAGCTCCTGACGTCCTCTCGGGCACCTTCCTGTCCTCACTACCTACAGTGGCTTAGTCACTTTCAATCATTTCATCTTCTTTATAATCACCAAAAATTTTTTCTTTCAGTTTATTTATTACAGAGACAGAGGAAGAGATAGTTTGGTAGCCCCCTCCCCACCACCCTGCCCACCAGTTCACTCCCTGAATCCCTTAGGCTTAGGCTGGGCTGGGGCTGAAGTGCAAATCCAAGGGCAGGAAGACAACGCCGTCTCCCACATGGGTGGTTGGAGCCTAATGACCACTCCCGTGAGCCCGGCTTGGCTCGGAGCCTGCGCTGGCAGAAGCAGAAGAGAGGAGCCAGGCGTTCTCAGAGGGTTGGTTTTTTATTTTGGGGTGTGGGGGGGACTTATTTGTTGTTTTAAGGTACGTACTACTCCCCCGCGCTCGGGATCCGGTTTGTTGGCTGCTACTGAGCTGCTGTAGTGAATCCAGTCAGCACCGGGTGCTCGGGCTTCCTGAGCCCTTAAAACACATCAAGCCCCAACTGAAAGGGGCTGTTAATATGAAATACACACCAGATTTCCAAGACTCAGCTCAACAGTCTCACAAAGTATTGTAATCAGTTCTTGGTGATAACTGAAATAACTATTTTAGCTAAGTTGGACTGAAAGATACAATTTAAATCTAGTTTCCTTTTATTTTTGAATTTGACGGGCCTGACAGAACATTCTAAATGATGCACATGGCTCATATCACATTTCTATTGGCCAGCGCTGGCCTAGAGGGTGCCTGGCACATAGTAGACACTCAATAAATAAATATTTGCTGAATGAATAAAGGAACCCTAACCACTATTCCAAAGATTTTACTGTAACCCATTGTAATTCCTTTACAATGAGTTGTATTCAGTTTGAAAAGGACATGAAAGTCTCTGCCCCTCCTCCCCCATCTTATAGTAGCTTGGCAACTCTCACCACTTCTGCCCACATCCCCAAAACACAGCTGTCAATCACAAGGGAAAAACTAGAATTGGAAACAGACCCTTTACAAAGACCACACAGTGCTTTCGCATGTCACTCTAGCGAATCAAACGGAAGTCAGCACGGAAGCTATAAAGTGATCCACCTAAGCTCCTGCAGAACAGAAGACATTTCCACAGAATTCTGTGGGTACACACTGCTGACAAGAAAGCCCTTATCTAGATGGGAACAGCTTTCACTAAAAGCCTCCCTCCAGCAAACAAAGAATGTCATTTCCTAAATGAAAAAGGGACACCACCCCAGGGAATACCCTGATTTCAACCCACCCACACCCAACAGCAAGAGAGTGGTAACAAAGCGGGTACGGGACAAATCCCTCCTGAGAATTCTCTATTGAAGAGTATGGACTCCCCAGAAAAAAACCCAAATCTACCCAGGCAATTTTCCTACAGGTGAGGTCTAAAGGGGAACCCAGGGGCCTATTTGCATTACAAATACACCCTTCTCTCTCAGTAGTTGGGGAGACCCCAGCTGCTACGTGGGAGAACTCCTGACCTCGAACCTTCCGACTTTCTCAAGGATTTCGGGTGGTGACTGCTGGGAACAAAGATGGGGCAGAGCTTCATGTCCCGCCCCCCCCCCCCCGCAGGGTGTCCTAAGCCTGCCTCCCTGCACAGGTATCCACTTCCCGGGAACTGGGAGACGCTGTCTTTCGCAGGGATCCAGACCCCATTCTCCTGGACAGGCAAGCTCAGGAAGCTTCCACTCAGGCTGCCAACTGTTAACCCCACCTTGTAGACAACACATAGCTCATCCGCGATGACCACACGGCTCCTAACGTGGGCAGAGAGCGGAGTCTCAACCGAACCGGCCAGTGCGTCCCCTGCCACTCGGGCACCCACTCCCTCGGGGCTGGTCCTGTTAGGGCGTCCCCACACTCAGATACAGGTAAGGACAGCCCAGATCGGCCAGCCTCCCCTCTTCCCCCGCCACCATCCCCATGGGTGCCAAGCCCCGTCCCCCGCCCGGTCCCGTCGCGGCGGGAGCCCGGGTGGCAGCCGCTGACGGCGAAAGTGAAACAAAGCTGGACGCCGGCAGCGCCCGCGGCTGCCACCACCGCCACCGCCGCCGCCGCCGCCGCCTCCGCTGCGCCCGCCCCAGCCGGCGCCCGCCGCGCCCCGCCCCCACGCCCGCCCCGGGGTCACCTCCCGCTCCCGGGGAGCGCGGGCCTCGGCGGGCGCGTCCCCGCCACACTCACCTCCGGCCTCCATGGAGGACATGCGCGGCCCCCGCGGCAGGCGGCCGGCGCCTCAGCCCCCCGAGCCGCGGGCCCTCATGCCGCCCCCGCGCCGCCCGCCCCGGCCCCGGCCCCGCCGCTGCCGCGCCCGCCGCCGCCGCCGCCGCCGCCACCGCCGCCCGGAGAGGCCATCAGCTGCTTCCCGTCACATGGCGGCGGCGCGGGCGGGGACGCGCAGGGGGCGGGGCGCCGGGGGCGGGACTGAGGGGACCGCGGGGAGGGTGACGCGGGGACCCCCCGGGAAAGGAACCGAAGAGAAGGGAAGTGCTGAGGAGGAAACGCGGGAGACTGAGGGGAAACGGGGTGGGGAGAGTACACGGGCTGGGAAAGACCTAGGTGGAGGTTGGGGGACTGAGGAGAAAATGGGGTGGGGGAGCCGGGTTCTGGGACGTTCGGGTGGTGAGGGATCAGGATGGGCAAAAAACGGGGCGGCGGGGCTGAGGGGATGGAGGTGCACGAGTGGAGCGGGGTGGGGAGACCAAGGTTGGGAGAAAACCAGCAGTGGAAGAGTAAGGCTGAAGGGAAAAGGGCGGGAACGAAGGGGTGGGTGCCAGGTAAAGATGGGAGAATTCACGGCCTGGGGGAGAACGGGCGGGTGGGGGGAGGGGAGGACTGAGTGGGAAGCGGAGGTGGGGCGAGTTCTGGGTGGAAATAGGGGCGAAGGAAAAGATACGGACTCTCCCATCCACCCCCGCAGACCCCTCAACATAACTGCTGGGCTGCCCTGAAAAAGCAATGTTTACCAGTTGTCCGGGGCCTGGCAAGCAGCAGGAGTGGGGTGAAGGTATTTCAGGGGGCCCAGCTCATTGGAGTCCCCCTTAGATTGCACCCCTTCCTTTGCTTGCTGTTCCCCCTGAGGGCTTCCAGCCAGCCTTCTAGCTCTCTTCCCTGCCAAACCCCTCCCCGTTTCCCTCCACCTGCACCCTGCCTCCCGATCACGGCTGTGTCCCATTTTTAATTTAACCTATTTTTGTTGCTTCACCAGAACTACTGGTGGTGGTGGTACCTTGGTGTAACCTCAGTTTCTCGTGTTCACTCCATCTTGACGTTTTGTATCTTGGCCAAGCTCTTGTCTTATGTGCCTCCATCTTATCTCGGAGCCATTCCCCTCCTCCAGTCACCTGCTGCCCGCCCCGCCCCCCCCCTTTCCGGTGCCCCTCTTGGCCTCTGGCCACCAGGATTACACCTGCACTTACCTGGTTTGTGCCTTTTTGCATCCCCACTCTCTGACTATTCATTTTTTCCCTACCAGTTCTGACTGGCGTGTCCTATTTTCCTCTGGACATTTTTTTCCCCATTGGAAAAAAGAAGCCTGTGAGGTCCTTGCTCACCCCACTGGCTCGGGGCCTGTCCTCAGCCCTTGTTGGGCTTCCCCTGATTCCCATTTATCTCCCAGATCACCCCAACTGTTGAGGGCTTTGAGGCCTACTTCTGCCACCCTACTCCCTGCCTTTTCTCACCTGCTTTCAGTTCATCTACTGTCCTGTTCCTTTTTTTTTTTTTCCCCTTTTCTGTTTTCTCCTCCGTCTGCAGTTGCTGTCTCTCCCGTTCCCCGGAATTTCTGGTGTCTTCAAGTCCTCTTTTAAGCCTTATTTTCATCTACTTGAAAGGCAGAGAAACAGAGATCTTTGATCTGTTGACTCAACCTTGGAATGCCCATAGCAGCCAGGGGGCTGAGCCAGCCCTCAGTCTGGCAGTCCCATTTGGGTGGTAAGGAACCCCAGCACTGGAGCCATTGCCTGCTGCCTCCTAGGGTGCATTACTGGGAGCTGGGTCAAAAGCAGAGGAGCCAGGACTTAAACTTTGGGTACTGGTCTGTGGGTATCCAAGTGGTCTCTGGCCACACACAGCACAATGCCTACCTCTCTGCATTCGTTTTAGCATGAACAAGTCATGGAAATGAATACAATGGCAAAAGGGACAGTATTATTGCCAATGTTAGGAAACCCAGTGAAAAACTCTGGAGAGGAGTGAGAAATATTTTCCCAAATCTTCCCATTCACCAATCAATTCTAAATCAAGGTCACTGAAGAATTTATTTAAAAATAACTTTATTTCATAATCTTTTTCTTTTTAAAAAAGTCCATGTTATAACCCCAGAACATTTTATTTTCACCCAGCCTTCTTCCACCAAATATTAAAATGTATATAGTGCAGAGAGATCTGTTTATTTTTCTTTGCAGTAGTTTCTGGCCAGTCCCATGGTGGGAATATTGGTTGGCACTTATTGCATCAGAATAAATGTTACCCAGCAAGGATGATATTCCAAGCCTCAGTGCACAGGTTATGGAAATTTCCCATCATGCATATTTTCCTGCTGCAGTTATAGGACCTGTATGTATTTATATGGGCTTGTGAGAATGGGGACTACTCTCAAAGCCACATGGGGACTGAGGTCCTTCGCTAATGTCCTCTAAGTTTCAAGGAAAAGCAATGTCATTGCAGTAACCCTCAAGTCTTTATTTTCCTGGTTCTGATAAGATCTCATGGTCTCAGAGTTAATAACACATGCAGATAAGATATTTTTGAAGTACAATTTAACAACTTGGACTTTGCCATACAAAGTCTGTGACCCGCTATCAAACATGCTTGTAGACTTGGGCATGGCTCATCTTAAGGGAGGGGGTGGAAAAAAACCTAATTCTTAAAAACTCCTTAAAATCTGAAGTCCTCTAGTCCCTGTGCTCTTAACTGGCCAGCATATAAATGTGCACACAGGGCTGGGATAGAAGTGACAGAAGCCACAGCTCAGTTGGTCAAGGGTTTGTAATAATTGGCACCGGGTCCTTGAAGTTCCCACTTGCTAACTGAAAAACTTTCCAATATTTCCCATCATCATGTTGTGTGCAAGAGGAGGTTGGAAAAGGCATCCTAGGGATTTTGCAACACATTTTCTGCATTCCTAGGAATTCTTACCCCCACTCCTTTGGTTGTTTTTTTGTTGTTGTTGTTTTGTTTTGTTTTTTGTTTTTCCTCTTAAACCTCTTGCCTCTGAAGAGCAGATGCTTAAATTCAAGAAGTCAGGCTTTTAAAGCCTAAAGAAGCGAGGTGAGACCGGCTTAATCTTCAGTGACTTTTGAAGCCATCTGAAATGGCACTGACTTTCACTGTTTAGACCCATTGAATCCCCCAGGTGCTACAAGGCAGGCTAAGCCCTGGTCAAGCACAGTTGTACTTGACAGCTATTCCTGAGGAGTAGAAATTGCAGCCAGCTCCTGAGATGGGCACAGGGCCCACTTTGAGTGATTTGCTCAGTTTTGTCCCTTCAGTCATACCTGCAGGGGGGCGGGGGGGTTACTTTAACCAGCTTCTCAATTTTGGAATCCCAGTGCCAAATACTGAAAGGAAGGAAGTTCTTCGAGCCCTAGGTCTTGCCCACTGGGGCAGGCTATATAACAGTAAAGAGTGCAAATTCAAGTCAACTTTTCAGGTTTAGCACACATCTATTGCACCCTTGTGAGGTCCCTGACTTTGGACAGAGATTTGGATGCAAGTAAAAAATAAAAATAAGGAAAAAAAAAAAAAACATCAACTGCACAAGGATGTGATAGAAGCATCAGCAGTCCAAACTCATCCATTATTTTCATTTGAAACTTGGTGTCAATGATCTGTGTATCCTCATCAAGTCTTTAGGAAGTAGGAAGGAAAACAGGTCTTCCCTGTTTCCATTCCTAAGAGCAACTGAGTCCAGACGGACTGACTTGGTCTAAGGAGTTCTTACAAAACATACATGCTGCTTTCATTGACAGCAACAGCAGGGACAAGGAACGGGAAAGACTGCGGGCTACTCCCAGGCACAACACCTGGGAGGCTTTGCTCTGAAACACGTGAGGTTCCAAGGAAAGGCACCTGTCAGGCCCTGCCTCTTGAAAAGATTTGTGTCTCCAGGGAAAACAGAGATCGCGAAGGCGTGCTCTGATCATGCCCCGATTGGCAGCCCTGGCAGCCACTTGCAACTCACAGTGCACACTGTTCCCTCTACCCTGAGGGAAGGCAGAGAAGACGCATAACGTCCATTGAGCACCAACTAGGCACCTGAACAGGCAAACTGCCCTCATCTGTCCTCACCACCTGCCTGGAAGGTGGGTATGAGTTCATCTGTTCCACAGAGAAAGAAGCCGAGGCCTGGGGAGGGGTCAGTGAGACCAGCCCACGGAACACAAAAGGAGCAGGGCCCAGGTTTGAGCTGGTGGTTCCTGACGCCACGCTGCGGGGAATCAGTAGGTAGGCTCAGGCCTCACCTCGCCCAGGCAGCTCACACTTGCCTGGTTACCTGAGCAGTGATAAAGGACACTTCCTTACCTACACCCAAGGTGCTCAACTTTTGTGCTGGACAAAGCTGAGTTACCAACCTTTCATAGTGGCAAAGGGCACCAGTGCCCAAATGTTTCCCCGGCCAGTCAGTGTTTGTCACAGTAGGTCAGCCTGGTACAGCCAGGAGGTACAGCAGAAGTGGCATCTCTCCTATACACGTGGCTTCTTCCCAATGCTTTTTAACATCTCTGAAAAATTTACAGCCTAGGAAACCAATTTTTGTTTAAAAATGGAAGGAAAGGTGTTTGTGTGTGTGTCTTGTCCAGTTTGCAGAGAGACGTGAACTTACTAATGCAAGCTCCCAGGCAGGAGAACAAGTCAAGAACTCTTCAGTCTTGCTTCCGGAGAATATAACGGTGAATGATAATGCTCTTCTTCAGACTGGTCTGTCTTCTTCCTGAACGTCACTTGGCAGCTCACTGACGTCATCTGTGTGTGAGCAGAACAGACCCACCTCTGAGTGATCTCAACAGAGGGTGATTTACAGTCCTCTGGTGAGCCATGGAATCAGCTTCCAGAGAAAAGGATGGGCTCCCTGTGTAGGTAGGCCCTGTCTTTGGGGTCTCTTCATTCCATGTCCTCCAGATATGCTGGCCACTCTTCCATCCTTTACGCTTCTGGCCCATGCCCCAACCTGCAAAGCTCCCTTCTGCTTATTCCACCTTGAATTTCCTTCCTCCCTTCTGCTTATTCCACCTGGAATGTCCTTGAAGACCAGCGTCCCATCTGCCCTCTGCCATAAAGCTTCTCCTGAACTGAGCACCAGGCACTTCACCAAACCCCCCTCCTTGACATCCTGTGCAGCTCCATCAAAGGTGCTGGTTGAATCCTGCTTCTTGATTCAATCCTCAACATACATGTCAATCTGTTCATCCTAACTGGGTTATCTATCAGACCAAAAAATTAAAACTATGCCTTTCCCAAGTGAGGCCCTTGGTAAACATTTGCCAATTTGATTTGAGGATTTGTAGTCAACACTGGTTCACTATCCACTATCCAACCCAGAAGTGTTTCAGGCTTCAAAGGGTTTTTGGAGGGGGGATATTTACATGTACATAATATGATATTCTAGGGATGGGACCCAAGTCTAAACATGAATTTCATTTGTTTATTCCCAGAGCCTGAAGGGAATTTTGCACAATATTCTAAGTAATACATGAAACAAAGGTTATGTATATTGAGCCAGGAGACTTGTGGCATCTTGTTGGTACTCGGAAGGTTTCAGAGCATTTGGGATTTGAGTGTCAGACAGGGATGCTATCCAGTAGTGGATTCTCTGATTTTAGACTAATTGTTAGCTAACTATCTTGCCCAGCTTTTGTGAATTTAAATTCCCTACTGGCAAACTGGCAAGCAAAGAGAAAGAGTGTACCTTGAAGATCCTGGAGTCCGTTTCCCATCCGTTCCAAGTTCCCATTCACCAGGGCGGTCACTCTGTGGATGTGGCCATACTTGCGCATTTCTGTTGGGAAGTCGGCTCTCTCACGGGCTGCCTCCTCCTCCTCCTCCTCCTCCTCGTCCTCTTCTACAGCATCCTCCTCCTCCTCCCTTTCCTCCTCTTCCTCATCTGAATCCACCAAAACCATGACGTCACCTGTGTCTTGTCCCCTAATTTCCAAAGGGAGAAACCATTCATCAAGCAGATGCCTCCTTTTCCCCAGTGTCAGCCCACACTGAAACACTAGGTTCCCTGCAGCTCCTTTAGGGATGCAGGGATCCTTCATGCCTCTGGCTCAGGAGGTGACGGTTTGGTTGCAACCTCACAAGGAGATGCTGACGCTGACTGCAACGCATGGACATAGCCTGTGCCAGGTGTCTCCTCCTCCGCTCCAGGCGGCCTTATTGTCCTGGGCATCGACTAATTTACTTCCACTCATAGCACTTATGTAACGAGCTCATGGAAAATGGAATTAAAAAAAAAAAAGCTAAATTGACTTGTAAAATAATTGAAACCCATATACAGTTTTTTCATAATATGAATTTCCATGTGCCTCTTGTTCCCATTTTTTTTTTCTTAAAATGAAATTATTTCCTTCCTTTAAATTTTTTATTTATTTATTTTGAGAGGCAGAGAGACAGAATGCTCCCACTCGCTAGTTTATTCCCCCAAATGCCTGCAGTGGCTGGGACTGGAGTGGGCCAAAGCCAGGAGCCAACAGCCCAACCCAGATTTCCCACATGAGTAGCAGAAAGCCAGTTATTGGAGTCATTGTGGCTGCCCCGCAGGGTCTGTATTATTAGGAATCAAGGTCTCAAACCCAGGGAACTCTGATGTAACAAGTACATATCTCAAATGAGTTCTTCACTGATAGGCCAAGAATGGGTTCCCCAGGATTTTTTTTTTTAATTTATTTAATTTTATTGGAAAGGTATATATACAGAGAGAAAGATCGTTTGTCTACTGATTCACTCCCCCAAGTGGCCACAATGGCCAGAACTGAGCGAATTCAAAGCCAGGAGCCAGGAGTTTTCTCTGGGTTTCCCACATGGGTACAGGGTCCCAAGGCTTTGAGCTGTCCTCAACTGCTTTCCCAGGCCACAAGCAGGGAGCTGGATGGGAAGTGGAGTAGCCAGGACATGAATGGGCAGCTGTATGGGATCCTGGTGCATGCAAGGTGAGGACTTCAGCCACTAGGCTATCATGCTGGACCCCTCAGAAACTTTTTAAGGTCCCTACTAGGCATGGATTTCAAAACTATTCTGCACCAAAATTAATTCATCTTTTAATTCCATTTTCTTCCATTAACTTTTTGAAGTGTTTAGTTTATAATATGTTCTCACCTACAATGATCTTACTTCTGCCCCATTTATTGAATTTTCTCTTTATCTATGACTCAACTGACGTCCTCTCCCTCCCCCTTAAGCCTTGAGCTCTGAGTGCATCTGCAGTCCAGGCCCAGTGGCTTAGCATTCTGTTGCCCTGTAGTTTAGTCACTTGGCCTTGTCTGCCTTGCCAGATGGCATATTTCTTATGGAAGAATAGGAGCCTTGGGCCAGTCCCAGTCCTAGGAGCATCACTTTCACCTTTCACCCTAGGAGCCCCAATCTGTGAAACAGATGAGGGGACCACAGCTCAGACAGGGTTAAGATCATCCCCTGAGTACACAGCTTGGGAACCCAAGTCCACTGATCACAGAGTGTGTTCCCACAATGCCAATGTGCTGCCTCCTATGAGAAACAAGCCTGGGAAGGACAGGCTCCTGGGGAGACCAGGCCTTCAACCCAGAACAGGAAAGGTCACTTCCACCCATGAAAGGCGGTCCCACTGTGACACTATCCCAACCCTGCAAGTGACTAGAGAGGAGGTACTTTCCCATAGGACCTCAGAGAAGACTTCTCCCATCCTGATGCTCCCTTTGGTCACTCAGCCCCTCCTAGGACGCCTTTGGGAGGCACTTCCTGGCATGCTGAGACTACTGATCCCGAACGTTCTCTTGAGACCATGACTCACACTTCCTTTTCAATCTTTGTAGAAAGTAAATAAAGCAAATTCACGAACGACTAGGCCCAGTACACACACAGTGTCTCCATATCTCCACGGCCTTACCCTGGGTTCAGGCACTCATAAGGCAATGTGGCCCTTTGCATTCTGGGGGCGTCTGCAGATGTCCCCTGTCTGGACCTCCATTTCCCTGTCTGGAAAATGGAGTTGTCACTACCACCCTGAGAGGGCAGAGAAAAGGATGGAAGAAAGTCCAGGGTCTTGCCTGGCCATTGCTATTAATCTTTCTAATGAAAGGAAATAAACAGCCACGGGGACAGATCACAGGAAAGGTTTTGGATTTGAATTTGGGGAGCACTCACCTGAAAGTGTTTCCTACTGAAAGGAAAAAGGAAAAAAAAATTAATATCCAGTGACATCCACTTCTGGCTCACAAAAGTCGTATCCATCAATGTGACATTTATGAGAGATGAACAAATGAGGACGCTGATCCATCCTGAGAGGGGCAGGATGTTCAGACAGGACACTCTGTACTCCCTGACCCAAGGAAGACGCCCGTCGAGTGGGACTTGGCTGAGAGCATAAGAGGTCTCCTTCCTCCCCACACACCTTTTCCAGAAGCCTGGAACACAAGCACGGGGCCCGGGGAGGCCTTACCTTTCCAGCAGAACACAGGGCTGTAATACAGCATGAGCCCCGAGATGACGGCCAGTCCCAGCAGGAGGAGGCTCACAATGGTGCCCACGATCCCCCCGATGTTCAGAGGTTCTGTAAAGACAAACCCCATCTTGGTCTCTCCCCTGCAACACACAGGCAGCAGGACTTCACGTTCAGTGCCTGCGACCCAGGCATGGCCTCTCGGATGCAAAACAAATATCTCAACTGACGTCAAAGAGAGAGTCTACGGGACTCCAACAGCGAAGCAGCGCTTGATGAGAAAGAACACGGCAAAGTTAAAGTCGCTGTGTCCACCAGACATCTAGATGGTCTACGCGGCCAAGTCAGGTGTAAGTGTGAACAGACCGCTAGACAGAAGGGAGCTTAAAGTGTTACTCAAGAAACAGTGCTGCTGGGCCCAGCGCCGTGGCCTAGTGGCTGAAGTCCTTGCTTTGCGTGTACTGAGATCCCATATGGGCATTGGTTCATATCCTGGCTGCTCCACTTCCCTTCCAGCTCCCTGCTTGTGGCCTGGGAAAGCAGTCAAGGACAGCCCAAAGCCTTGGGATCCTGCACCCTTGGTGGGAGACCTGGAAGAGCTCCTGGCTCCTGGCTTCGGACTGGCTCAGTTCCAGGCATTGCGTTCACTTGGGAAGTGAATCATCGGATGGAAGATCTTCCTTTCTGTCTCCTCCTCTCTGTATATCTGACTTTGCAATAAAAATAAATAAACCTTTAAACAACAACAAAAAAAAAAGAAGAAGAAGAAGAAAGAAAGAAAGAAACAGTTCTTAAATCAACAGGAAGAAAAGACACTTGATCCCTGCCTCAACCATTTACAAAAACCAATTCCAGATGGGGTAAACATTTAACTGAAAGGTAAAGCATTCAAACTTTTAAAAGAGAAAATAGGAGAGTATCATTGTCACCTATGGATGAGAATACAATTCTTTTACTTTTTTTCGAATTTATCTAACTTAGTTTCTTCCTTCCTTCCTTTCTTTTACTTTCTTTCCTTCCCTTTTCTTTTTTTTTTTTTTTAAGATTAATTTTTTATTTAAAAAGCAGATGAAGAAAGAGATCTCCCCAAATGGCCTCCAGGGCCAGAGCAAAGCAGACCCAAAGCCGGGAGCCAGGAGCTTCCTCTAGGTCTCCCGCATCGGTGCAGGGAACGTGAGCCATCCTCCCAAGTCCTAAGCAGGGAGCTGGACCAGGAGTGGAGCGACCAGGACATGAACCAGCACCCACATAGGATTCTGGCGCCACAGGTGGAGGCTCACTGCCCTGGCTCTAGGGATAAATGTCATAAGACACAAAAACTGTTCATGATTTGAGAAAAGTTCCCGTTAAGATCAGCTACATTAAAAACATCTGTTAATTGAAGAATATCTATTATAAAGTAGAAAAGACAAGGAACTGATAAAGTTCCAGGCTCCTGGCTTCGGCCTAGTCCCATCCCGGCCATGTGGGGGGTGAAGCAGCTCATGGAAGGTCTCTCTCCGTCTCTTCCTCTCCCTCTATAACTCTAATCTTCAAATAAATACATAAATCTTAACCATAACAACAACAATGATTTCTGAAGAATAGTAGCTCCATAGGAACAATGTCAAAAGACACAAATATGTATTTCATACAAGAAATACACATATAAAATAATGAAGTAATGGTGAAAACCTTCTTCATAATCAGGGAAATTCAAATGAGAACCACTGTGAAATTCTACTTTACACTTAGTAACTTCTATTTGATACTCAAAGGCGGACAAAAACTGAAAAAGCCTGTTGGTGCGATGGGTGCGAGATGTACAGTAACAACGCTGTTTATCTTAACAAAAACATCAGAAACTCAAATGTCCATTAGCAGGAAAATGAGTTATCGAGTTGTGGAAAGGTGACAGAAGGGCAAATTATACAGCAGCGAAGAGCTGTGCAGTCCTAGAATAAAAACTGGAGTGAAAGCAGCAAGCCACATAAGACAACCCGTGCATGAGTACAGACAGTCAAGGTATGCCTTCCGAATACAACAGAGTCAGGAGAGTGGTTCTCATTTGTGGGAGGCCTGTAATGAAGGGAAGGAACCCACAGATGGGGCTGCAATCAAGCCCAGGACATCCTGTGGACCCACAGCAGAGTATCTGGATTCAAGTCCCAGCTCTGCTCCCAACTGCAGCTTCCTGCGAACGCACACCTTGGGAAGCAATAGTGTGACAGCTCCCACAGCTGCCACCCATGTGGGAGACACGAACGAGGCTCCTAACCTCAGGCTGCCTGGGGCCAGCCTTTGGAGAGCGAAACAGCAGATAGGAGATTTCTGTCCCTGGGTTTGTTTGTTTTTTTTCTTTTTTTAAAAAAATAGATATAAATTTTAAAAATCATCTCTTCACAGAAAAAAATAAAAATCACATTAAAAAAGAAAACCGCAGGTCTGGTATGGTAGCCTAGTGGTTAAAGTCCTCGCCTTGAACATGCCAGCATCCCATATGGGTGCTGGTTCTAATCCCGGCGGCCCCGCTTCCCGTCCAGCTCCCTGCTTGTGGCCCGAGAAAGCAGTGGAGGACGGCCTAAAACCTTGGGACCCTGCATCCACATGGAAGACCAGGAAGTTAAATTACTGTTAGGCTCTGGGCTCCTGGCTTTAGATCGGCTCAGCTCTGGCCGTTACAGCCACTTGGGGAGTGAGTCAACGGATGCATTTGTATCTTCTCCTCTCTGTATATCTACCTTTCCAATAAAAATAAATAAATCTTAAAAAAAAAAAAAGTTACAAGTATACATGCCACTTCCTGGGTGTCAGTGACCCACAGTCAGGTAGGCAGGCCCCAGGCTGTCCCCATGTTGGTGCCAGCTGCCCTAAAGCCCTCAACTCTCCTCCTGTGGTCCCACGTCCATCACTCACCTTTCACACTGAGCCAGATGTCCACCTCCCTCACCCCCACGGGGTTCTCTGCCCGGCAGACGTAGTAGCCCTCATCCAGGTCCGGGGAACAGTTGTGGATGGTGAGGGTAGAGCTCTGGCCGTTCTGGGTGATGACATAGTGGCTGCTGGGTTGAATGGGCACCTTGGGCTGGGTGAGGTTCCTCAGCCACAGGATCTCAGCAGCGGGGTATGCTCCCGACACTTGGCACGTGAGGGTCACATTGCTCCCTACAAAGCAAGTCTTCATAGGATCAGAGAGAAGGGAGGGGTTCCCTGCAGATCAGAAGGGGATAAACAAAATAGACAGTTGGAAGGGAATATTTGGCTCAGGGGTGAAGACACACACTTAGAGGGGAGTATCTGGGTTTGATATGTGCCTCTGGCTTGTGACTCGAGCCTCCCGTTCATTCAGATCCTGGGAGGATCTGAGCTCCTGCCAGCCATGCGGGAACCTGGATGGAGTTTCAGGCTCCCAGCTTTGACTCTGCCTATTCCTAAAGAACACACAGTGGATGGGCTCGTTCCACAAGAGTCTTTCTCTTTGTATGTTTCTGGGTCTCAAATAAGCAAAAAACAACAACAACAACAAAAAAAAAACTTTAAAAAGACAAATGTTGAAGGCGATTCAAGGCATGGCCTGTGATCTTTAAGGACACCTGCTCCCTCAGGAAGCATCCCTTGGAATTTCTGCACCCACCACATCTGGTCTCCCGGAATAATAAAAACCAATATTTATAGAACAGTGACCACGGGCTAGGCAGTCACACATAGTCACCAGATTTGTTCTCACAACCCTCCTACTATCCCCATTTGCAGATAAGAAAACTGAGGCGCAGGCAAAGTTAGGGAGCTGAGTTAGCGAGCTGACTCAGAGTCACACAACCAAATTAGTGACACATTTCAAGGATGTGGAATGACTGGTGACCCTAGTTTGCCTAGAACCAAGGAGTTCCCGGAATGTAGGAGTTTCAGAACTAGAATCAGGGAAGTTCTGGGCAAAGCAGAATCAGGGGGAAGACAGACACCCAAGCAGATTTTTTTGAGGTTTTTTTCTTTTAATCAATTTATTTATTTAAAAGCCAAATTACAGAGAGAGAATGAGATAGAAAGAGAAGTCTTCCATCTGCTGGTTCACTCCCCAAATGCCCAAAACAGTCAGGGTTGGGCCAGGCAAACGCAGGAGCCGGAAGTTCCATTCGGGTCTCCCTCACTGGTGACAGAGGGGCAGGCATGTAGGCCGTCATCTGCTGCCTTTCCCAGGTACACCAGCAGGAAGCTAGCTTGGGAGCAGAGGACCAGGACTCAGAGCTGGGCTCCTCTAGGATGCCAGGGTCACAGAAGGCAGTTTCACCTCTTCCTGATCAGAGGTAGTCTGATCACTCTATAGTCTTCTTATATTGTCACATACAGTTACACTGGCCACAGACAGAGTGGCTACACAATGAGGGAACGGTGCTAATGAGGGGACATGTATATAAACAATTGCTATATACTTAGTAGCACGAAACAATAAGTTTATGTGTGTGTGTGTGTGTGTGTGTGTGTGTGTGTGTGTGTGTGTGCTTCTGAAAATCAGAAGTCTGAAATGATCTTACAGGGAAGAATTAAGGTCTAAGTAGGGCTGGTGGTGAGCACTAAACAACTACACAACAGGACCTGCGTGACTCTGTGCAAGGTGATAGAGGGAGTTCATGGGGTGCCAAGCAGTGCCAGCCAGGAGCTCTGCGCCTATGGGTGCATTATCTCCATCTCTGCTTGCTCATGGCCTTCTCTGTGGGTCCACGTCCAAGTTTCTCTCTCCACACGGACATCAGTCACTGGATTAGGAGCCAGCCGATCCAATCTGACCTTATCTAAGTAGATTAGATCTTCAAAGACGATTTCCATATCAGTCACATGAGCAGCTCTGGCATACCATACTAGAGTGCTGGTCTGAGTCCTGGCTAGTGTATATCTGATCCAGCTCCCTGCTCGTGTGTCTGGGAAGACGGCTGAAGACGGCCCAAGTGTGTGAACCCCTGCCACCCATATAAAAGACCAGGATGGAGTTCCTGGCTCCTGGTTTGAGCCTGGCCCAGCCCCAGGCCCTAACCCACACAGCTATTTGGCGAGTAAACCAGCAGAAACATTGCATTCTCTGTCTTTCCCTCTCTCTGTCACTCTGTCTTTCCAATAAACAAAAATAAATCTTAAAAAAAGGAGGAAAATGTATGAGATAACTCATGTACAAACAGCATCTGTCTTATTGCTCCATCCTCAACATCTGGAAACCATACCTTACACACAGCAGGTGTTCAATGAGCATTTGTCAAGTCAAAGATGGTTCAGCCTGGGCCCAGGGAGCTTGCCTCACCAACCAACCCTCTTTGAGGTTTGAAAAAGGAAGGAACTGCCAAGCCAAACAACAGAAGAAAGGGAAGGAATTCCGTTCTTTCTGACACATTGAGATTTGTTTCCCAGGCCTTTTTCTAAACCAAACTAATACAACAAAGACAGGCAGATGAAGCCCAGCCCCAGGACAAAGCAAGTGGACTCACGGATCTGTACCACACAGCTGGCTCCAGACTCCGGCCCCACTATGTGGCTCCCAACACACTTGAACTTCTTGCCGTCTGACAGCTGGGACTGGTTCAGCATCTCCACCCCTAGCTTTGATTTCCCCACGATGAGTCCTCCTGGCTCCTCTGTCCACAGGTAGCCAGGGTCTGGGTAGCCACCATCCCAGCGACAGGTGAGCTGCAGCATGGACAATCCCAGCGATGCCTCTGCCCAGCACTGAGGAGCTGATGGAGGAGGATCTGCAAATCACCAGTGGAGAACGCAAACTCAGACACACGCTGCAAGATCAGAGCCACACAGGCTATGAAGGACCACAGCGCTGGGGGTTGGGGAGGTCCCACAGCCACCTGCTCCATCCTCCTGTCGCCTTGAAGCAGCACCTGCAGGCAGGTCTGTCTGACAGTGGTCTGGTTTCCCCTACTGGGCCCTGGGCCTCAACAGTTTTTGTGTTTCCCACTAGCCACGTGTGTCTAGTAAAATGAATTCAATGACATGAAAGCATAAATGTAGCTTCCCCCATCACACAACACTCCTTAGAAACACACAGAAACCACTGGTGAGCAGGCCTGCCATCCCAGACCACATAGTAGACCACTCCCATCGTCTCTGAGTTCTACTGCATGGTGTTGGCCCCGAGATTCTAAAAGAGGTCCTCTCGGGCCGGAGGCATATAGAGGGAATTACAGGTGAAGGCAGACTAACTCATTCCCCTTCCAAACACAGACATTATTCATGTATCTTATGTAATGCACCTAAGTAGAAGTCCATTTGTGAGATCAGGGAGCATGGGGCGGGCAGGTGTTTGGTGTAGGTTGGGACTCCCACACCCCAGATTGGAGTGCCCGGCTTTGAATTCTGGCTCTACTCCCGACTCTAGCTTCCTGATAATGTGCACTCCGGGAGGCAAGCAGCAATGGATGGGTGACAACTAGAAGAAAAATACCAACGTAACCGTTAGGTGATTACCATCTTCCATACGCTCATCAGTATGACCCATAGCAAGCACATATAATTTTATCTCCAATAAATGTCACTCATGATAGAGAACCTAGAATCTCTAAACAACAGAAGAAATAAATAACCTATTATTATCCTGCCCGCTAACTGGCTGATGTGATGCCTCTGTTCATCTGCATGGGTGAGGACAACCCGCCTGGCTCCCGTGGTTTTCACCTCAGGTATGTGTGCACCAGGAATGTCTGGTACATTCTACCCCACCCTCAAGGCATAGGCTCATCGCCTGCTGGGTCCCAATAGTGTTACAGGACCCAGATGCCACACTCGGTTCATGAAATACTGAGGCAGCCTGGATGACGAGGTAGGTGACCTGTGGTGTCTCCCTACAACAGGCTGATGCTCAGGTCACACAAAGGCATGGAGCATGGATATAGGCTGCAGCGGCTCCGTGCAGGTGACCCTGAACACATGACGCTAAGTGAGAGCGCCAGACTCAAAAGGCGAGCTATTCTGTGACCCACTCCCAGGGAATATTCAGAGCAGTTGTAAGTTCATTGCGGCACATTCAGACTGGTGGTGTAGGGGTTGGGGGGAGAGGGGATGGGAGTGAGCATGGAATGAGCTATGGGGTTTCCATCCAGAGAGAGGAAAACATTTTAAAGCTAGGTAGAAGTGATGGCTGCACACATTGGGCATGTACTAACTGCCGCTGAAGTGTAACTGTAAATATTAATGTTGGGATAAACCTTGGAGTGCAGCAGGGCAAAAGGCCTGTGATGCCTGCACCCCCATTACAGGGTCTGGTTCTAGAACCTTTGATTCTAATCCAGCTTCCTGCTGACACATCCTAGGGAGCAGAAGAGATGGCTCACCTACATGGATCTCTGTCACCCACATGGGAGCCCTGGAGGGAGTGCTGGGGCCTTGGCTTAAGGCCTAGCCCATCCTTGCCTGTTGTAGATATTGACAAGGTCTGTATGTGTGTGCCTCTCTGTTGCTTTGCCTTTTGAATCAGTGAAAATAAATAAACACTGAAACAAACTAAATGTCTGTGTCCATTCGCCTCAATTAAAAAAAAAAAAAAAAAAAGACACTATGAGACTGCACTCATTTCCTTATGGCTCACAGGGACCCTCCTGCACTCCTGGCTGGCAGACGTTTCCAGAAGGGGGCAAGCTGCAGCCCTTTGAAGTGGACATATGTATTTCTTTTTTCTTATACTTTTTCTTTTTAAGATTTATTTCTTTGAAAGTCAGAGTCACACACACAGAGAAAAAAAGGGATTACTCCCTCTGTTGATTCACAGATGGCTATCTCAGCAGCTGTCGAGTCAGGTTAGAGCCAGCAATCAGGTACTTCCTCCAGGTACCCAAACACACCATCCTTTGCAGCTTTCCTAGGCCATTAACAGAGAGCTAGACCAGAAGTGGAGCAGCCAGGACATGAACTGGTACCCGTACGATATACTGGCACCCCATGGAGGACACCTTTTACCTGCTACACTGCAATCCCAACCCCACACGTGTGCTGAGAGAATCCCCAGAAGCACCTTAGAACAACCCATGCAGCAGAGATGCTTTTAAAAACAAAAGTAACGGATGAAGGGGAACAAGAGGGGGAGGGGAGTGCTTCTTACGCACAGTAGACCAGGAGCTCGGTGGTCACCTTTCGATGTCTCCCACTGCGCATGTTCTCAGCCAAGCAGGTGTAGTTGCCTTGGAGTTTTGGCGACATGAGGAAGAGCGTGAAGTTGCTGACTGTCAGGTTGTTTCCAAAGGGCTCGTCGCTGGAATCTGGGGCCTTGAACCACCACTCAACCATGGGCGGAGGCCAGGCACTGCTGGTGCAGGTGAAGTCTGCATGGGAGCCCTTGGCTGCATAGAGCGTGCCATTGGGGAGGGTCCCAGTGGTAGAGATGTTGACCTCAACCTGATAGGGGCCGCCTGGGAATGACAGAGGGGAAATCATCAAGAAGCATCCAAGGACAAGGACAGTATCGATTAAACGCGGACCATGTGACAGACACTGTCCCAAGTGCCCAAATATACTCTTCCATTCATTCTGGGCAGTTGTATGAGCCTGGCTAGGGGATAAACACATCCTTGGAAAGAGTATAAATTACTACCTTTCAGAAGCATTGCAAAGGGGAAAGGGCAGCTAGCATTGCACAGGAACACACAGACTCCATTCCCACTAGAAAGTGCTGTTTGCAGGGCTGATGTTTGAGATTGTGAATTTGGAAAGGATCTCCACCATGTCCAGAACACATGGGGAATTCACCACCACTCCTCCAATGGTGTGCACAAACCACATGGCATACACTTGGAATAGTCAGCTTTTCATTACTATGCCAAGTTACCTGACGTTGGCTCTTTATCAAGAAAAGAGGCCTACTGTGGCTCATGGTTCTACAGGTGCGAGGTCCAGGAGCCTCAGGTGGAGATCGTCTTCTTACTGGCATCACTCACTGACATCACATGGCCCGAGACAGGGAACACGTGTGTATGTGTGGGTATCCTGGTCTCATTCCTTTCTTTTCGTCTTGTATTTTATTTCTCTCTCTCTCTTTTTTCCTTCCTCGATCTATTTATTTGAAAGGTAGTTACAGAAAAAAGGAAAAGACGGAAAAACAGAGATCTGTCCACTGACTCACTCTCCAAATGGCTGCAAGAGCCAGGGCTGAGCCAGGCTGAGACTGGAATTCTATCCAAGTCCCCAATGTGGGCATCAGGAACACGTGGGCCATCTTCCACTGCTTTCCCAGGCCATTAGCAGGAAGCTGGATTGGAAGTGCAACAACCAGGACTCAGACGAGATCGGGCATGTTCAGGTTGGTATGGCCGTAGACAACAACCAGGACTCAAACCAGTGTCCATATGGGAAGGTGCTGGCCCCAAATGGGGAGGCTTAATTTGCTACACCAATGTGATGCCTCTCCTTCTTATGAAGAGGGAGGATCCAATCATGGGGGCTTCACTCTAGCAATGCTATCTAATGTCTTAGTCCTTCTTCAAAGACCCCCACCTCCAAGCACCATCATTATTAGATCAAGTTCCCACTCTCTGAATTCCTAACTGCATCCAAACCGGTCACAGAGCCACACTGTGGGGTTGGCAGGGAGCCAGCTGTCAGACCTGAGCTCTGCCCTAGCTGTCATTAGTTAGTTCCTCTTGCTGACTACCCACCATCCAGCAGAACCACAGCAAGGCTCAACACTCGCTTTCTTACACATTGGTGGATGCTTTCAGCAGTGTCTGTGTAACCAGCCCTTAATAAAGACCTTGGGCGTGGAGTCTTCCTGAGTCTCCCCAGGAGACTCCTGGTGTGTATGTCCACCACTCCTTGCAAGCTTAAAGTGCATCCCTGATAAGTCTATGAAACCAAGACTTGGGCAAGCTCGTGCCTGGCTTCCCCTAGACCATGCCCTTCCCCACTGCTTCCTCTGCTGCTTCTGTTTTGCATTCTTTTGTGGTGATGGACCATGTCACATGCTGTTCTTGTGCATCCAAAATAAATAAATAAATATTTTTTAAAAAGAAGAAGAAGATTCTAGTTTAGAAGCCTAGGGCTTAGACACACAGCATTGGGGTGACCCATCCATTCACCTTCAGCCTCAGGTTAAGGCCCAAGGAGAGCAAGCCCTTTATCCCTGATTGCAATGGATTCTACTAACAACAACAACAACAACAACAACAACAACAAGTCTTCTAACTGGCATGGGGCAGATCAAAGCAGCTGACATCTTTCTGCAGTTTCCCTGGCTATGGTAGTCATCTGGAGTGAACCAGTGGACGGAGGATTCTCTCTCTCTCCCCCTCTCCATAACTCTGACTTTGAATATAAATAAATCAATCTTCAATGATAATCACCATCCAGAAAGTCAGTGTTTAGCTAAAGGAATAAACTCATGGCTGCACAAGTCAGGACAGAATCGGGCTGAGGGGCTGTGGAGGGACAGGCTTCCTCTACATGCTGCCCCTAAGCACACAGCACCAACTTCATCCGCATCTACTTCCAGCCACGGGACAACTCCGGGGACTGGAGCCTTCTGTGAGCTCTATTCTTCTATTTACTTAAGATTTATTTATTTTTATTGCAAAGTCAGATATACAAAGAGGAAGAGAGACAGAAAGGAAGATCTTCCATCCTATGATTCACTCCCCAAGTGGCTGCAACAGCCGGTGCTGCGCTGATTCGATGCCAGGAGCCAGGAACTTCCTTCAGGTCTCCCACGTGGGTGCAGGGTCCCAAGGCTCTGGGCCATCCTTGACTGCGTTCCCAGGCCACAAGCAGGGAACTGCATGGGAAGTGAGGCTGCCGGGATTAGAACCAGTGCCCATATGGGATCCCGGTGTGTGAAAGGCGAGGACTTTAGCCGCTAGGCCACCATGCCAGGCCCTGTGGGCTCTATTCTTAGCAGTGTGCTGGTCTCCCAGCAATGCCGGGAGCTGCCAGGACCACACCACTTCCCATGGAGGACCTGGAAGAAGAGCTACAACTGTGACCCGGGAGCTGCTCCTGCGTCTCATTACCTGATGTCAGCTCGCCAGTGAGGCATGCGGACTGGCGGGTCTGTGGGTGCGCCTGCAGCTGGCATGCATCCAACTAAACACACCACACCTCCCAGGTGCTGGTGGCCAACACCCAGACTGGCAACACCTAGGCATATGCAAAAAGTCAGGCATTTCTGGGTCTTCCAGATGTGGTCAGGGGGACCCTGTGGCCTAGCATGGATAGAGAAAACCTCAAAACTAGCTGGAATGATCTGGGTTTTGGGTTTTTTTTTTTTTCTTTCAGAATTAGAGAGAGAAAGAGATAGAAATTTCCCATCCACTTGATTGTTCCCCCAAAGGCCTGCGACAGGTGGGGTAAGGTAAAGCCAAAACTGGCAGCGCCACTCGAGGCATCATTGGCTGCTTCCGGAATTCACGCTGGTACCAAGCTAGGATCAGGACGGGGCCCCGAACATGAACCTAGCGTCTTTGATGCAGGGCACAGGGCTCTTCACAGATGTCCTAAAGGTCGTGGCAGATGCCTAGCAGCCCATGGAAGGGCTTTTGATGGGCGCAGTTCTCAGCAGGAAGTAGGATCAGTTACAGTGAAGGATTTCAAATGAACACATCAACCGGGAGAACCGAAAGGGCCTGCTGAGCTCTTCAGTGTCACGGACACAGCATCTCGTGACCCCAACCCGGGGTCGCATGAGATTGCTTAAGCAAAGCTGACACCCCCTCTTCTTGCTCGTGGGGGTTCTTTCAGACCTCCTTTACTACAAAGGTGGTGCAGAGAGTACCCCTCAGCCCAGAGGCCTGGGACATTGGCAGAGGCCTCACTTGTGTGGCATCGCTCTGGGAAATGTCCAGTACCATTAGTACCACGCCGAGCTCTGAGAGCCATCTCTGGATCTTGGGATTAGGGATGCCCAGCCTACCCCAGGTTCTTTCCCTCCTAGCTCTGTCACATCCCCTGACACTCCCAAGCAGAAGCCACCAGCTCTTTGGGTTTACAAGGTGATGGCAGCAGTCAGGTAGACCGACAGACTGACAATGGGTGGAGAAACAAAACTGAAAAAGCCAATAAACGGTGACAAGGGCCTGGCAGCGGACCAAACCTGCACTCAGTGTCGGGTGTTGACTGGCCTTGCCTCCTCAGCCTAGCGATTACAAGGAAGTAGGAGTTCTGATTGGGTCAGCCCTGGGTGTAAATCCTGCTGGCATTAGTAAATGGGCAACCTTGGGCAAAGGCCCACGCCCTTCACTCTCACCGTCCTCTGCTTTCCCAGAATGAAAAGAATACTGGTGACTTAAAGTCCCAGGTGACCTGAAGACTCCTGGGAGATACCGCATGCTCGGAGGACTGGGCTGGACTGCTGCAGCCCAGGACAAGACCCAAATCCACAATTCCAAGGACACCAGGATTCCCCTTACCAGAAGGTCAGCATGACAGCCACGTGGGCTTACAGGTGCACCAGCCCCATCCCCCAAGCCCCAGATGAAACCTAAAGGACTTAGGGAGTATCGTGCAAAGCAGCTTCCGCACTGCCACATGTAAAGGGGTTCATGTGTTCCCTAAACACCTGCTTGGCCTGACACAGAAGAGCCTGTCACCGGGAGGCGGGAAATACAACTGGGGCTGATCTTTGAATGCATCTCTCAGCTCCCCAGACGCAGAAGAGATCGGGAGTGAAGGACAAAGACCGCTGGGTGCTCCCTTGCTATCCCCTTGCGCTGTGAGACAGGTAAGCACACAGGTGTTCTGACCTCAGGCCTGCTCCAAGGGGGAGGCAAGAGAGGCTGGGAAGAAGAGGAGATGAGCTGTAGCCTTGAGCTGCTGTGGGCTGAGGAGCCGCTGGGCTCCTGGGAGCGCTGGCCCACTTGCCCTGGCCACATTCTTCAGCCCCACCTTGAAATGATTAAACGGCACAGATTCTTGTCAGTGGTGACTGAGAGAATCACATGATGAGTGCCCGGTCCAGACAGGTGAAAACTCCCCAGGGGTAAAGGAAATCTGAGTCCCAAGAAGGGAGCAGCTCCAAATGCCTGCTGGCGGGCAAGGAAAAGTCCAGGTGCTACCCAGGGAGAGAGCCATTTGCAGCCCCCTGCCTGGCTTCATTTTTCAGCAGTGTCTCTGTCCACCCCCACATTAAAAGTCACTCACAGATAGTGACCAGTTACATCTCAGAACTGTCCCCGCCCTGCGAAGCCACGACCCCATACGAGCTCCCTATTAATGTGCGCGGGAAGGCAGCAGAAGACGACACAAGTGCTTGGTCCCTGCCAACTGTGTGGGAGCATGGATGGAACTCTGGGCTCCTGGCTTCAGCCTGGACCTATCGCTCTAGCCATCATGGCCATTTGGGGAATGAACCAGCAGATGAAAGCGCTCTCTCTCTCTCTCTCTTTCTCTCTCTATATCTCTATCTCTCTATCTCTTTCTCCATTCTCTCTAATTCTGCCTTTCAAATAAATAAACAGGGCCTGGCGCAATAGCATAGTGGTTAAAGTCCTCTCCTTGGACGCGCCGGGATCCCATATGGTCGCCGGTTCTAATCCCAGCGGCCCTGCTTCCCATCCAGCTCCCTGCTTGTGGCCTGGGAAAGCAGTCGAGGGCAGCCCAAAGTCTTGGGACCCTGCACCCGCATGGGAGACTTGGAAGAGCTCCTGGCTCCTGGCTTCGGATTGGCTCAGCTCCAGCCGTTGCAGTCACTTGGGGAGTGAACTGTTGAATGGAAGATCTTCCTCTCTGTCTCTCCTCCTCTCCATATATTCACCTTTCCAATGAAATAAATATATAAATAAATCTTAAAAAAAAAACCCAAATAAGTAAACAAATCTTACCAAAAAAAAAAAAGGGGGGGGGCCTGGTGTGGTAGCCTAGTGGCTAAATTTCTCACCTTGCATCTGCCAGGATCCCATATGGGTGCCAGTTCGTATCCTGGCTGCTTCACTTACTATCCAGCTCCTGTGGCCTGGGAAAATAGTGGAGGACGGCCTAAAGCCTTAAGGCCCTGTATCCCAGAGTGGGGGACCTGGAAGAAGCTCCTGGCTCTTGATTTCAGATTGGCTCAGCTCTGGCCACTGCAGCCACTAGGGTAGTGAACCAGCGGATGGAAGATCTTTGTCTCTCCTTCTCTCTGTAAATCTTACTTTCCAATAAAAATAAATAAATTGAAAGAAAGAAAAGAAGAAGGGGAGGGAGGGAGAAAGAATTGTCCCTGCCAGGCCATGCAAGGATCTTGCCAAGCTTTTCTTCTTGAGGAGGGTGAGTGCCCAAGTCCCCAGTGATGCTGGAGTCAGCCAGCACACGGCCAGGGCTCACGGCGGGGCCAGAGCCGGGCGGAAATGGCTGGCATTTCCTGATACACCCACGTTCCTCTCAAGAATTCTGCCGATGCAGAAGCCCTGTGCTTGCAGATTCCATCACAGAAGCAAGGAGACACATCGGAGGCCTCTCTTTCCTTCCCCCAGCCCGAGTCGCTGCATCCTGCTGGTCTACCTCCAGCACGTGCTCTGTACCTGTGGACTTCCACCAAGGGCACTGCTGCCTCTCGGCTTCCGGTCACCAACATCCTGTACTGGCCTCCCTGTTTTCAGAGCTCTTCTGAAGGCCACACACACACACATACACACACAAATATTCCACATATGTGTCAAGTGATGCCACACCCTTCCAGAAGCTCCTGGAATTTCATCTGCATTCAGAAGAAAAGTATCTTACTTCTGTAACTACTCAGCCTCATGATTTCCTTGGCTAGCCACTATGAACGCACCCTCCCTAGGATGGGTTTGTGACACAGCAGGTGGAGCTGCTGCTTGCGTGGTCAGCATCCCACGTCCCACACCAGTTCAAATCCCAGATCCTTCCCCAATACAGCTCCCTGCTAATGAACATGGGGAGGCAGCAGCAGACTGCTGGCTTGGGCCCCTGCACCCACTGGGGAGACCCAGATGGAGTCCTGGCTCCTAGCTTCAGACAAACCCCTGGCTATTTTTGCCACCCGGAGAGCAAACTGGAGATGGGAGATCTCTGTCTCTCCGTCTCTCCCTCTCTGTGTCACTCTGCCTTTCAAATATAGCTCCCGACTCTGAGGTGGGAAGTCAAGGGGCCAGCAGGGTATGCTCCCATCAGAAGGTGCTGGGTGGGTACAGCAGCCAGCTTTTCGTCACAGTCATGGAATACCTGAGGCAACTCCATAAAGAGAACAGATCCAGGAGCTCTCAGTTTGGGAGGTTTTAGATCAAGATTAGCCAGCAGACAGCAGTGGCAGAGCAAGTGCAAGGGAAGGACTGTGTGGCGAGCTGGGAAGGAGAGAAGCCGGGCCCAGCTCAGCCTTTCACAGCCACTGCTTTTGCAAGGGTGACCTTCCCAGGGCATACGCCGGCGAGCTAAGGACCTGCTGCTGGGCCCACCCCCTAAACGCCATCACTGGATGAAGTGTCCACCCTCTTAGCACCATCAACTTTGGGGACCAAACCTTTGACACATGGGCCTTTAGGGGATACCCACACACATCCAAACCACAGCAAGAAACTCCCTTCCTTTTCTCTCCCCCAGGGTGGTGGCCACAGCTCGCTGCCAGATCTGGTTGGCAGCCTCACTCCCGTGTCTGCCCCGTCAGTGTTTGAGGCTTTCTTTCTGTCTTCACATGGCTTTTTCTTCTTCTTACAAGGACTCTGTGGAATTAGATTTACTTGTTCTTAATCTGATTTGATATGTCAACAGCCTATTTGCAATTAAGGTCACATCTGTAGGGATCAGAGATTAGGACACTTTTTTGGTGGGGGCGGAGGGCCAGGGAGGACAGAATTCAACTCCTAACATGCCCGCCCTACCCAGGTCCACCTGACCTGCCCTGGCCTCTGCTGTTTCCCAGGTCCAGCCCTCAGGGCACTGGGCTCCAGCCACACTGGCCTCCCGCCCCGCCCCGCCTGTGGCTGTATCTTGTTCCACCCATCTCTAAACTGGTGCCGGTTTTGCCAGGCGGCTCTGTCCCTGACTGCTGTACAGCTGACTCCTCCTAAACACTCGTACGGAATGTCACTGCTGGGTAAATCCTTCTGAACGAAAGTGCTTGGGAGCAGCCGTGTTTCAGAGTGCGGATGTCTGGGGACTCACAGTATCTGCATAGGTTTTTACCAGGTGAGCATAGGTAACCCCAAAAACCCAGCTTGTGAGGCATTCTGACTTTCAGATTTTTGAATTGGAGATGTTAAACCAGTACCTTCCAATGTTCCTCTCTTTTTTTTTTAAGATTTATTTTTATTATTTTTTTATTGGAAAGGCGGATATACAGAGAGGAGAGACAGAGAGGAAGGTCTTCCGTCCGATGATTCACTCCCCAAGTGAGCACAATGGCCGATGCTATGCCAATCCGAAGCCAGGAGCCCATATGGGTGCCAGTTCTAATCCCCGCAGCCCCGCTTCCCATCCAGCTCTCTGCCTGTGGCCTGGGAAAGCAGTCCAGGACGGCCCAAAGCCTTGGGACCCTGCACCCGCGTGGGAGACCCGGAAGAGTCTCCTGGCTTCGGATCGGCATAGCATTGGCCGTTGTGCTCACTTGGGGAGTGTGAATCATCGGACAGAAGACCTTCCTCTCTGTCTCTCCTCTCTGTATATCCGCCTTTCCAATGAAAAAATAACAATAAAAATAAATCATAAAAAAAAAATATTTCACTGACTGACTGAAAGACACAGAGAGCAATAGCTTGCATCTGCTGGTTCAGTCTCCAGATGCCTGCAGCAGTCAGGGCCAGGCTAGGTGGGAGTCAGCAGCTAGGAGGGTATCAGGGTATGCCACGCCAATGGCAGGAACTCAAGCACTCCCAGCGCCTGCCGCTTCCCAGGGTGGGCATCAGCAAGAAGCGGACTTTGCAAGTGAGACTCAAACCCAGGCACTCTGATGTGGCAGGTAAGCACCTCAACTGCTGTGGCCATTGTGGCTGACGGCGTAACTCACAGCCTGCAAGGCAAGCACCTCTTATGGGCAGCGGCTGGAGTGCAGTCCAGCTCCCCGCTAATGTGTCTGGGGGAGCAGCAGAGGACAGCTCAGTGCATGGGCCGTGGCATCACATGAGAGACCTCAAGCAAGCTCCTGTCTCTTGGCCCTTGGCTTTGGCCTGGCACATTGGATAGTGTGCTAGTGGATGGAAGCTCACTCGTTCTTTCTCTCTCTCTCGATGTTCTTCTTTATGTATATATATATATATATATAAAACATAGAATATATATATATATATATATATATATAGAGAGAGAGAGAGAGAGAGAGATGTTCTTCCAAGCTAGTGACTAATACCTTCTCCCTCAAGGACCAGGCAGGGCCTAGTGCTGTGGCACAGCGCTTTAAGCCACCACATGTAGTGCCAGCATCCTGAATGCACGCTGGTTCGAATCCCAGCTGCTTCACAGCACCCTACTTAGCTCCTGGCTCCTGGCTTCGGCCTGGCCCAGCCTGGCCCAGCCCTGCCCTTTGTGGCCACCAGGGGACTGAACCAGCAGATAGACCATATCTCTGTCTGTGTCTCTCCCTAACTCTCAAGCAAATAAATAAATCTTAAACAAGCCAAAACAAAACAGATGGCAAATATTTCAGCCTTTGCAGGCCAGATGATCCACGTCACGGCTGCCTCCCCCAGGCCATGCAGCAGCAAGGACAATCACAGATATACTAACCAAATGAGTGTAGCTGCATTCCAACGCTTTATATACAGACAGTGAAATCTGAATGTTGCCTAATTTTCACTTCACTGATATTCTTGGTTTATTTCACAGCATATCAAAAAAAAAAAAAAAAAAAAAAAAAAAAAAACATTTACATCCTCTGGGCCCTACCAGAACAGGCTGCAAACCAGACACAGCCTAAATTCTGTAGCCTGTGCACTCCTGTCTGGAGAGCCCATTCCTGCTCAGCCCAGGAGGGACAGTGGCTTGGGCCGGGCCCCACCCTCAGCACCGCAGCACAAAGCATCTGCTGCACCTGACGAGGCATGCGGTATCCCAGCCCCCACTTGCAAGGGAGGAAGCCGGAGGGGAGTCTTCAAGACAGTAACTGACAGTTACAGGAATCCATCCTAGCATTAGGACTGGTATTCAGCATCCTGGCCTGGGTAGGTTTGAAGTGACTCTGTCATATGATAAACTCAAAGTAACAGCAAGGATATTAACAACAGGCTAAAAAGAACGGCTCGCTAACATGCCAGAAGCCGCCTCAAGCTTCTATTCTTCATGGAGAAAATTCTTTTCATCCCCATTTGCAGGTGAGGAATTCCAGGTGACTGGAGGTCGCTCAACAACCAGGAAGCACAGTGCAGAATGAAACCCCGGGGCCACCTGACACTAAAACCCATGCATGGACCTGGTTCTGCCCGTCGCTTCCTCTTGCACCCCGAGTCCCAGGCCCGACAGCCCCACTTACTGGCCACCTGCAGCCACACTTGGAATTGCTGGGTCTCATTCAGGGTCTCCTGGCAGGTGTAGTTTCCTTCATCCTGCAGGCTCAGTGCCTCGATGTGCAGGGAGCTGGTGTTCCACAGAGAGAAACGAGCCGAGGCTGGCGGCAAGCTGGAGTTGGAGGAGACGAGGAGGACAGGCTCCGAGGCACTCCGGTACCAGGACACCAGGCCCCTGGGCCCCGAGACGTTGCCGCAGTGCAGGGTGACAGCCTCGTCGACTTCTCCCACGGTCACCACGACAGCCTCCGACCCTGCATGAGGAGGGGTCAGCCTGTTAACGACTTTGCTCGTGCTCTGAATAGCCTCTCCTTTAGACAAACCCTTTGCATTAAGACTTAAAGAAAAATCAAGCACATGGTTTTAAGACATGACGATGCACAGAGCTTCTGCTAGGTCAGAATTCCTAGCCAGTCCTTGATGTTATTGAACTTGGAATAGTTCGCATCTCACGCCACCCCTACCCCACTGTCCATTCCCTCCGTCTTAGCTCTGCCATGCCATCCCACTCTCACTGGGACTCAGTCACCTGACTGGCTTTAGCCAATGAGATGCTAGTAAATCTGCTGCACACAGACTTCAAAAGCGCTTATGCACACATGAACATCAGGAGAGACAGGAGGGCGCGTTTTTGGGTGCAACAATGATGAGAGGGGCTGGGGACGAGCACATCCCAAATCAGAGTGCCTGGGATCCAGTCCCCATTCCGCTCTCAAGTCCTGTTAACGCATACCCCAAGAGGCAGCAGCTAGGTGACAGCTCAAATGCAGGGGAGACCCAGCCTGAATCCCAGGCTCTTGGCTTTCGGCTGTTGCAGGCACTTGATGATAACAGATAATTCCCACTGAATCCAGAACGGGTGGAGGCACCAAGCCCTTGGCTTTGTTCCTATCTCCAGGCTTGTCTCCCTGAAAAGTCCCTGGAGTGAAAGCTCTCTTGGGAGTGGACACCAGACCATTCTGTAGGGGTTGGTCCTGTGGTGCTGTGGGTTAAGCAGCCGCCTACAGCAGCAGCATCCCATAGGAATGCTCGTTCCAGTCTTAGTTGCTGCACTTCCAATCCAGCTCCCCGCTAATGAACCTAAGCACGTGGACCCCAGGAGAGACCTGGATGGAGCTCCTGACAGTGGCAAGCCCTTTGGAGAGTGACCCAGCAGGAAGAACAGCTCTCTAACGTTCTCTCCTCTCTCTCCCTCTTCCCCCTGCCCCAACCTCTCTGTGGATAAGACAAAAACCTCCAGCAGCTCACACCCTCGTGGGGAAACAGTGAGCCAGCAATCACAACACAGCTAACCAGCACCCAGAGAAGACACTCCTGAGTCCAGCTGGGGCGACCGGCGGGCAAGACTTCCTCCAGCAAGCCAGAGTGACTTCAGTCGTCAGGTGGGGATGAGCTCGTGGTTTCTCCAGAAATCTCCCCCGCAGGATCAGGGTCGGGCGTTCCGAGCAGCAGGTAAGATGCTGTGTGTTCGGTCCCAGTCTCCGCTCTACTGATCCTGACTCTGATGGTTTCAGGACTGGGGTCCCTACCACCAACCACACTGTGGCAGGCATTTGGGGAGAGTACACCAGTGGATGGAAGACCTTGCTCCGTCTCTCTTCCCCTCAAATAGATTTAAAAAGTCATTCGCTTTCTAAAAGGCCAGAGTCACACTGACAGGAAGCAGCCCTATGAGAGACACAACTCATCAGGGCCCACCCCAGAACAGCTCCCTCAGAAACCAGGCAACAGGGAGTAGCACCCTTGCTTAACAAGCCTTATTTTTGTTTCTTTAAAACATTTTTTTTTATCTTTTATTTATTTGAAAGGCAGGGTAGACACAGACAGAGATCTTCCATCCACTGATTGATTCACTCCCCAGCTGGTTCAGGAGTCTAGAACTCCAGCCAGGGGCTGGAATGGCAGGGGCTCAAGCACATGGACCATCATCTGCTGTCTTCCCAGGAGCATTAGCAGGGGGCTGGATGGTCTGCAGGAACTAGAACCAGCATGGTGGATGCACCCTTGGTGCCACACCAGGCCCTCTCCGTGTGATTCTAATGTGCACTGAAGACTGACAGCTGTTGAAGTACACAGAAGGGCCTGGCACGGAAGCCAAGCAGCTAAAGTCCTCACCTTGCAAGTGCTGGAATCCCATGTGGGCACCGGTTCTAATCCTGGTGGCCCCGCTTCCCATCCAGCTCCCTGCTTGTGGCCTGGGACAGCAGTCGAGGACGGCTCAAAGGCCTTGGGACCCTGCACTTGTGTGGGAGACCCGAAGAGGCACCTGGCTTCAGATTGGCTCAGCTCCAGCTGTTGCAGCTGCATGGGGAGTGAATCAACGGACGGAAGATCTTCTCTGTCTCTTCTCCTCTCTGTATATCTGACTTTCCAATAAAATTAAATAAATAAATAAATAGGTAGATGAATTGCGCTGGATCTGGCACCGACCATCACCAGGTAACCAGAAGTAAATGCATCCACTTTGTTGGGCGGTTTTACAAGAATGCCACCCCTGCAGCACTGATACTCTGATACAGAGAGGCCATACGGGGACAGGAACCCGGGCAGAATCCCAGGGGGGAGGGGAGAGTGATGAAAGCACTTGAGAATTAATTAGTAGGGTTAGTTGCACAAGCTTGTAAACATGCTTAAAAGACAAACAAAAATAACAACAGCAAAGAAAAAAACAAAACAAAACAAAAACAACCTACCACGACCAGCAGCAAAAAAACAAAATCCCTGAACTGTCCACTCTGAAAAGGGTGGCTTTTGAACGACCCTCCAGAGGCCCCCCCAACCTTGTATTCTGGCTCCCCAGGAGGCCTGGGGCTGCTCTCCTGTTGTCACTCAGAGCTACAGGGTTCTTCCTGGCACCTTCTCCTGAGGTTGAGCCGGGTGGACAATCGGAGGTACCAAGCAGCAGGGAGTAAGCCTACCCATCTTCTGGAATGGGGCAACAACAGGAAGGTTGTCCCCCCCCACCCCAAGATAAACCCCAACTCCAGAAACACACAAAGAAAACACCCAACGCTCAAGAAGCCCTACTGCACTGCACACAAAGGCAAAATGGACCTGGGTGTGGTGATGGACATGGCCCACCCGTGCTGTGCCTGGCAGACAACCAGAAAGATGACTTCAGACTGGGTTCTGATGCTTGGGGAGGCAGCAAGTTACACACACACATATGTACACACACACGCACGCAAGCCCCATGACTGCGGCAGTTCAGGGAGAGATGGAAGGAATAGAAGGGCACTTCCAATTCTCAGGCGGCAAAACAACCTCTGGATTTTTCCAGATAAACTGGCAGTCAAGATGATAGGGATTTCGCAACGATTGCTTAAAAACAATTTTATCCAAAAAAAAAAAAAAAATCTGTTTAGAAACCTAACACTTGGGAACTTCTGGCACTTGCTGCCAGGAAACTCAGACACTTAATAAGGCACCACCAGGAGCCCAGCGGAGGGGGCTGGACCTGGAACCCGATCAGGGCCAGCTGGCTCCAGGTCCTTTCCCAGCCCTCACCCTCTGCCTGCTGGTCAACGTCGTGGCACACAGTGGACAGCTATCGCTGGTGAATCACTGGGGAAAAAAAAACTTAGTCCCCCCCATTGTTTGTTTTTGCATTTCACATTTTTTTCCTGTAACATAGCAAGAGGGGTACAGAGCAGGAATTTAAGGCTTTCTTTTATGACAATCACGTCCATTGCAGCAGGAAGAATTTTTTTTTTCAAAAACAAATAGAATTATTTCAAAAATAAACTTTCTATTTGCTATTATCTAAGACAGAGAAGGAAGAAGACCGGCATCTGGGGACGCCGGTAGCCCAGGAGGGCTGGGAGGGGTTTGGAGGAAAATCCACGGGTTACAGGTGCAAGGCGATCGAAGGAGGAGGAAAACTAAGAATCCTGGGTTTGAGTTCCGGCGCAGCAGGCAAAACCACAAAGAGATGTGACATCCGCGGCTTCAGACAGGCACAGACAATTGCCACTTTCCCTTCTACACGCGCCTCTCCATTTTTCCCACCCTCTGCGCACTCCCTGAGCCAGGAGGTCCCTCGTCCTCTTCCTAAGCGCCCATGTGCGGTGCGAGCAGGAAGCCCAGGATCCTCCCGGAGTGGCTTCGCGGCCGCAGCCACTTATCACCGCCGTGGGCCGAGGGAGCTGGGTCCCTCGCGGTCCCCACCCCATTGCTGCCTTATGAAACTCCACTTTTCTCTCCAGATCGCCGCCCCTTACCTGCCGCGACCCAGCGTGCCAGGAGCGCCCCGAGACAGACGAGGACTCCCGCGGCCATCTCGCCCCAGATCCCAGTTCTACCAAAACAGGCTCCTCCGGCCAGGCTGGGCGTGCGCCCCGGGGCCCCGGGCCCTGGGGTTCCGACGGCTCCTCCCGGATCCTCGCGGCGGCGGAGCGGACCCCCAGGAAGGGATGCTTGGGGCTGCGGGGAGTAAAGCCGATGTCCCAGACTGGGAGCTACGCCGGACGACGGGTACGGGTGTCCGCTCCCCGGCGCCCGGCCGGGGTGGTAGGGCGCACTCGCCCCTTGCGCCCGCCGGGCGGAAAACAACAGGAGAGCGTTCCCTCCCGCCTCTCCCGCAGGCGGGAGCCCAACTTCCTCCACCTTGGCCGGGGAGCGCTTTATGCAAGGGCGCGCCGGCTGGGGGAGGGACGCGGAGGTTGGGCCCTCCCTCGCCGTGGCCACTCCGCTCGGGACGGCAGCCTGGGGTCGAGGGACAGCTGGGTAGTGGCGTGCACTGCAGCGGCGCAGGACGCGCCCCCGCGCGGCACTGGGGTTGCAGGCCCGGGAGCAGCGCGGCCACCGGAGCGGGGCGGGCTGCGGGGCTGCAGAACGAAGCAGGGCCCCGGGGCCCGCAGGGACAGTCCTGCGTGCTTTGGTGTGCGTGGCGCGCCGCCAGCGCCGCCATCGCAGCCTTCTGCGCTTTGCGAGAGAGCGGGAGAAAGATGATCCCCGAACCTTCCAGCCAAAAGCAGCCACTGGACTCCCGTGGACTCTTTACCGGCAGAAACCGCACAGCGAGAGCAGGGGTCACGCAATCGGTGGGACTTTTGGGGGTTTTCTTCCTGGCTGGTGCTTTTAGCCCTCACCCTGTCCGGTCCCCATCCCATCCCTTCTCATCCCATCCCATCCCATCCGCCAGAGCTAGGGAGAATGTTGGCCTCAGGAAGAGCCCAACTCAAACAGCCCCGGGAAAAACTTCCTGTTTAACGGGGGGGGGGGGGGGGGGGGGGGGGAATGCTATTAGTACAGTAAAATATTAACAACAGGCTCCAGGAGGAAAAGCTACAAATGCTCATGTTATTTAACTTTTCTCTAAGTTTGGAAATGTTCATCACAGAAAGGGGAGAAGAAATAAAAATTGTTGCTAAAGCATCCATTCCTTGGTCCCGAGGGACCCTTACTGGAACGGTTCGTCCACAAAACCGGGTTTTTTTTTTTTTTTTAAAGCATATTTCTCCTTTCTTAATTCTTTTCTCAATGATTTCTTTAAATTCTTTGAGAGAAATTAAATTGTTGGAAAGAGCTCCCACCCTTTGGTTCACTCCTTCCTGCCCATCCCACTTCATCCCCCAGTGTTTGCAATGGCCTGGGCTGGACCAGGGCATTCCATCCAGGCCTCCAGCTGCTGAAGCCATCATGCCTTCCAAGGAAGCTGGAATCAGGAGCCTGAGCTGGGGATTGAACCCTGGTCTGTGTTTCTGGACACAGGAGTTCTAACCTTCCAGTTCCCAGCAGGGTTTCCAGGCATGAATCTTTTGCAACCCGATAGTCCTGCCTTGAGCAGACCTGTCCCTAGGTATTCCAGTCCTTGTTCAAGTATGCAAATGAAAGTTCGCCTGCTTTGCTGCAAGCACTCCCTTCTTCTCCAGAAGCGAATGGGGCTTCCAACAGCACCAGTAACTGGTGAGTTTTCAGTGCAGGGCCTGGAATTTCCCGTTCCAGGAGTATTGGGGGGGTGGGGGGATTTGGGAGGAGCTGACTCAGTGCCAGATTCTAACTTCACTGTGCCCTGCCTACTTCCCTTCAGCCAAGGAGGTAACACCATTCCCTTTTCATGAGTGAGAAGACCACGCCTCTGTGAGCCATGCTCCAAGCCACGCACTGAGCCAGGACTTCATACCAAGGCCTGCCCCATGCCACCCCAACCCACCCCCCTCACAAGGCTCCAGGTCTATGCAAAGACCAGGGCCATGGGGATGGAAGCCCAGAGGCAGCCACAGGCATTCCCCAGCCCTGAGCTGGCCCAGGAAACACCCGCCCTCTTGGGTGTGGGGCCTGCCAGCCCTGACAGCCACAAGCAGATCTCAGGGTGCCCAGCACTTCCCAAGCAGTGGCTGGGGAACTGGGCTGCTGCCCTGGGGTAACCAGTAAGGCAAGAGCCATTCACAGCCTACAAAACAGCCAATCTCCATAGGGACTTACATAAGAGACAGCTTAGGTCAGCACTCCTAAAGCCCATGGCAGCATTCAGGCCCCGTTCAGGCCATATCCAGGCCATGGGGCCAGGTCCTGCTCATTCCAGGCTGCCAGGTAGCCTCCTTCTGCTCTGTGTGTGTGTGTGTGTGTGAGTGATGTGGACTCTGAACTTTTTTCTTTGTAAAAAAAATAACATCTTACTGTGTTTGTTAGGAAGGCGGAGGTTCAGTTATAGATGCAGCTATCATCCACTGGTTCACAAGAGCCAGGGCTGGGCCAGGCTGAAGCTGGCAGCCGGGAACAGAGTGGCAGGGGCGCAAGGACTTGGGTCATTACCAGCTGCTTTCCTGGGCACATTAGAAAGGGATGCGGGTATCTTAACTACTATGCCAAACACCCATCCCTCCTTGTTTGTTTTTCTTTAAAAAAAAATATATATATATATATATATATATAAAGGCAGATTTAGAGTGAAGGAGAAACAGAAAGAAAGATCTTCCATCTGCTGGTGCACTCCCAAGCAGCTGCAATGGCCAGAGCTGAGCCAATCCAATGCCAGGATCCAGGAGCTTCTCTCTGGGTCTCCCACATGGGTGCAGGGTCCCAAGGCTTTGGGCCATCCTCAGCTGCTTTCCCAGGTCACAAGCAGGGAGCTAGATGGGAAGCGGAGCAGCCAAGACATGAACTAGCACCCATAGAGGATCCTGGGTATGCATGGCAAGGACTTTAGCCACTAGGCTACCGCACCAGGTTCATACTTATTTATTTTTAAAGTCAAAATTAGACAGAAAAGGATAGAGAGAGAGAGATCTTCCATCTGCTGGTTCATTCCCCAGATAGCTGCAACAGCTGGGGCTGGGCCAGGCCAAAACCAGGAGCTGGGAACTTCATTTGTGAGGGTGCAGGAGCCCAGACATTTGGTCCATTTTCCAATGCTCTTCTTAGGCACATCAGCCAGGAGCTCGATTGAAAGTGGGGCGGTGAGGACACAAGGTGACACCCAAATGGGATGCCAACGTTGCAGGCAGAGGCTTTACCCACTATGCCCATCTTGTTGTGTTTTCAGCTCATTATCATTCTTCCTCTTTTTAAAGAGGGCTGCTTCATTACAAGGCAAGCCAGTGGGAGTGTCAGGGGCGTATTCTGAACCCAGGTCATGGCTGTACAGTCTGATTCATCCTGGAGGGAAGAAGAGCTTGGGAACCCCGTGTGACGCCATGGCTAACTGGCTCATGAAGTCCATGTTCAGGTTGGTGGTTTCTGCCAGATACCTCATCTTGGCAGGAAGCCCTCCCTAGGGGATTTCTAATAGGTCTCTTAGCAACAACCAGCGTCTCCAGTCTACCCAGAGTCACTCTCTAGGGGCTGCAGAGGGCCAACCAAGAGCAGCGTGGGTAGGGATCTTCCCCTGGAGTCACCTCTGGGTGCCCCACATCCAGAGGTCCTGGAAGGTGGATAACAAAGGCCTCCCTGTGCTCCCTGGATGGGCCTGGGACCCGAAGGCCAGCACCTCAAGGAGCAAGACCATGACCAGCCTGCTTGACTCTTTGCTTTTTTTTTTATCTGAAGAAGAGAGATCTCGCTCATCCGCTGGTTCACTCCCCTGATGCCCTCAACAGCCAAGGCTGGACCAGAGCAAAGCTAGAGCCAGGCACTCCATGTCTCCTGGGTATGTGGCAAGGACCCAAGGACTTGCCTGCTGCCTACCAGGGTGTACATTACAGGGAGCTGGGACCCAACCCCAGCCAACCCCTCCACCCGACGCATCCCAATACCAGATGTGGGGTCTCAGGCAACATCCTTTTTTAAAAGGGTGTATTTATTAACTTATTTGAAAGGCAGATTTATAGAGAGATACAGAGATTTTTGCGTTTGCTAACTCACTTCCCAAATAGATTCAATAGCCAGGAACCTGAAACTCCATGTGGGTTTCCCACCTGGGTAATGAGGGCCTAGGGCATGTTCCGCTAACTGGGGCATCTTCCGCTGCCTTCCCGGACATGTTATTAGCAGGGAGCTGGACTGGAAACAGCAGCATTCATGGGATGCCGGCATTGCAGGCAGTGGTTCAACCTACTGTGTCCCAAACCCATCCGGGTGGAAAGCACTTCACAGGGAAAAACATCACCCAGAATGAGCCCTGCAGGGAGCCAGATGCCTCCGACTGAGGACCCCTTGGAGGCACGGATGTTGTACATGGTACCTGAGTCCTTACCCACACACTGCCTGGTTTGCTTCCCCACTACCCTGCTTCCAATCGAGCACAGCCTGGGAGCAGCACATGGTGGCATTCGAACATGGGCCCCCTGCACCCACATGAGAGACCCCCCCCACGGAGTGCCAGGCTCCTGAAGTTTTGACCTGGCCCAGCTGTTGTGGGCATTTGGGGGGTGAATCGGTAGACAGAAGATTACCTCTCTTCTCTCTTTCTAACATTTAAACTAAGTAAATAAATCTCTAAAAAGTAAGTTTGATTCCTGCTTTTTCTTTTATATGTATTGTAACTATACATATTTGTGATTTTTGTGTGTGTGTGCAACTACTCTTAATTGAAAAGTGTCAATGACATAAAGAAAAATCTAAATAATGGGGCAAGTGTTGTGGTACAGTGGATTACACCACCGCTTGCAAAGCTAGCATCCCATACAAGCAACTGTTCAAGTCCCAGGTGCTCTACTTCTGCTCCAGCAGCCTGGTAACGAGCCTGGGAAAGCAGTGGAAGATGACTCAAATTTTCTTTCTCTCTCTCTTTCTTTCTTTTTAAAAGATTTTTAAATTTTCACTGGAAAGTCAGATCTACAGAAGGAGAGACACACAGAAAGATCGTCTCTCCACTGGTTCACTTCCCTAAGTAGCTATAACAGCTAAAGCTGTGCTGATCTGAAGCCAGGGGCCAGGAGCTTCTTCTGGGTCCCTCACACGGGTGCAGGGACCCAAGGCCTTGAACCATCTTCTATTAGTTTCTCAGACCACAAGCAGGGAGCTGGATGGGAAGTGGAGCAATCAAGATATAAACCAGTGC